CATTTTGCATTGGGCAGGTTAAAATGGAACAGGACCTTCAAGTAACGCACCTTGAGGCTCGCATAAGGTATCAATGATAACCTAAAGTTTGAAGGTAGCGCTTACCTGTAACCTTTGGCAAGAATGTTGATCCTCAATGCCAACAACATTCGAGTGTGCTCAATAGACAATGGCGGACCAACGCCTAAGATACAGTGTAAAAACAAAAGATGATAAATTGTGCCTAATTCTAGTTAACCATATAGTTTATACATGTACAACTTTCCACGCTGAGCGAATAAGAAAATTTTCGGCTGGAGAAAGATTGCAAAACCATAGGGATTTTCTTCGTAACTAAAACGTCGGTCAAATCACTATTACTATGTTATCTTTAAAGCGAAAAGACATTCTAGCGAAATATGGGCTCAGATGAAATCCAGCAGAAAACATGTTGCTGCTAGCTGATGTCTAAAAAGTGTATAAAATAGGACTTTCCACTAGACCACGTGTACTTCCTAAGAAAGCATTGTAAAGACCCGTCGAGAAATAATACGGGGTACTCACGTGGAACATTTTTCCCAGTACTTCATATTGTGGTACAATAAGAATTAAACCTAAAATAAGAGACAACTCAAGTCATTTTTCTTAGTGGTTTGCCTGTGGTCCGTGGAAGTAGCGTGAATCACGTAGCCACATATTTCTCATGATACTCAGAGCAGACCGATACCTGGAAGCAGCAACGATTTTCTTCACGTTCTGCTTTTCAACGTGGATCGCGCATTGTTAGTTATTGGAATTAAAATTTAACGTTATTTATTGACATATGTACCTGCAGCGTGTGATCTTATGAGATTCTCTTGCAGTTCTCTGAAGGGTCAACAGAAAATGAATACAAATCAAGACAGATTCTTTAACTAATTACATGATGATGCGGATCAAGAGGTTCTGTTATTGCAGGTAATATAGAGATGGGTTAGAATCGACTTGGATCGAATTTAGAATCTCTGGACACGTGATCAATCTGGGCCGTTTTTTATTTGAGATTCATGAATCTGCTTGTAGACGGAATCTAGAAAAAACCCTTCTATAGTGTAAAAACGTTATCTGTAATAGACTGCTTATCAAAGTCGTTGATGCATTAAAAATGCGAACTTAATTTGCGTCAGCTTACGAGAGTCGGACCACAACAGTGGACTAATATCCCAAACAGCGGTTGGAAAAATCGAGCCTAAGCCTGACACATCTGTGAATATTCGAAGAAACTTTTTAGCTCAATAATACAATCAGTCTGTGATGCCTAGTTCGTTCAGTAACATTAGATATCAAAAGTTAAACTTTGTTACAAAACACTCTCGTTGCTCTACTGCGGTTGTGTTCTGTCAGAGCAGTTGCTCACCTTCAAAGTGGCTGTGGCCGCTTACTAGAGGTGGTCGACGCAAATAAGATTTGAATGTCAGAATATTTTTCTTACAGCCTTCACAATACTTACTTAAGTTTGTCAAGAGGAATGACAACTCTTGCAAACTTTCCAAAGCCTGTAGTAACACCATAAACCACTGAAAAGACAGGAAAAAGAATTGTTAAAGTCTCCCACAAAGAAATCATAAAACAACAACAACATAAACAAGAACAAAAAGAGTTTTGCACTGTCTAGTCTTGGAATGTGGAACAAATTTGAAGAAAAGAATTTTCAAGACCCCATTCATAATTATTTAACACTTACCGACGTAGTTCGAGTCACTGCTAAGATTATTTCATCATTACAATGATTAAAGCGAATTTTGATAGCAATTGTACTGGACTGTTGACATCTGGGGTGTAGAGAAAAATAGACAGTCTCCAGATTTTAGATCTCCGGAGGTTAATTGGCATCTCTAGCTGTTATCCAATGAGTTGGTGCGGTTTGTATTTCTAGATGCTAAACTTTTAGGTTCCACCCTAATTTTTGTTTACCCATTTCTCTCTCCCATGAATAATAAACAGTCCCTTGGAGGTTTCGTGGTAAAATATGGTGAATTTCACAACCAAGGCATTATTTAGTGTGAACTCTACAGTGAATCTGGCCATATTTACACATTGGCATCAGTTATTTGTTCCATGCAACTGGTACCTTTATTCTCACGAACAATGTTGTCAAGTAATGAGCGTGATTTGGATACATTGAATTCAGCCTCATCAGTCAGCTGAGAAGAGAAAGAATAATAACAAAATTTTTATTTCTGCAACAGGGGCGGATCTAGGGGGAGGGTGCGGGGGGTGCGCACCCCACCCCCTGAGATGACCTGCAGTTTTTTAATACAACTGGTATTCTGCAAAAAAAAAAAAACTATGTGGTTTATTGGTGTTGAAGTAGAGCAAGAGACAAGTGCACCCCCTCCTAAAAAAAAACCTGAATCTGCCCCTGTGCAATCAATTGAAAATAAAAAACTGGTCACTGGATAACTTTTAAAAATACATGACCTCTACTATGAGTTGTATACCCGAGCCTCAAATACAGTCACATGACATTGGTCAGCTGATACGTTTTTTGACAGCTGTCAATTGTCTCTTACATGGATATCCAATACCAAAGTTAAACAAAGATAGTATATGCCTTGGACTCCTTGCTCTCAGTAAAGAGCTCTCCTAAAAAAACATGATGGAGAAAAGTTGGCTTTGGGGAATTCAACACAAATCTAGTTATTTTAGAAATGTATTCAAAGTATAGCCAAATAATGCAGTTTTTGTTTTTCTAGCTGTTTTCTCCTACCCAAAATTCCTGGTTAAAATGAAACGTTTCTTTTAATTTTTAGCCTGAATTTTACTTTATAAATAATGAACACTCCACGAGCTTCCCCAAACAATGCAAATACATTAATTGGGCGTGTCCAACTAGACCAAACCTTTCAAGAAATATTCCTTCTTTTATGATAAATTGTTTGTTTCCATAAGTGGCACAAAACGAGTCTATAAATTCCAACTTTATAATTATAGTTTTTACTTATATATAGTGTTTTGATTTTGCTTGGAAAGATCGAGAGAGAATAAGAGATTCAATCATAGCATAATTCCTGTAATATAGTTACCTATCAGCTTAAAAAAATGTGTCTCTAACCTTTATTTTCAGTTTGCCTTTCCCCAGGGCAACCAGAGTTTCAGGTGATAGTGAACACCCATCAACTTCAACAAACTGAAAAACAACATGAAAAGAGCTGTCATAATTTTAAGTTATAAGAGAGGTGGAAATGTTTGTTTTTATCATCCTCATTTTTCTCATTATATGACAGGGAATTAAGGACACACACCCTAATTATCTTCAAATACAAACTCTATATGTCCAAACACTTAGATGTTGACACGGCACAAAAGTTAATTCAGCCACAGATATGTATATCTCTCTCTCCATATGTAAATAAAAATAAAAATAAACATCTGAAAATAATTATCCTATGAAAAGGTGCTAATAGGAAAACACAACATTGCAAAGGTAACATGTAGAATAATAAAAAAATTATGTAAAATTTAAATAACATGATTTCTCTTCCGCACCCATAACATCGCTTCAACTTACTTGCTTCTTTTCTACATTTTCTTTTCTGTAAGAATGTGATGTTGAAGTAATCAGTCAAGGATAAACAGCTATTGTAATTACTTTTTTGGTAAATGATGGCTATGCAAACGATCGAGTCACTAGATTGCTCAATTCAAGTCAATATCGACCAATATCCTTTTAAAGACATTTGTGAGAAAAGTAACTTTTAAGTTTTATCAACTAGTCAATCATTGATTCGATAAAACGCTAAATATTAAACAGTTGAAAACTGCTATTTGTTTTGTTTGTTTACAATGTGCACAGTAAATTAACATTCCACATCACAAACCACCAAAACAATTATGCTGATGGCTGGTTCATTTGAATATTTAAAACACACGAAGGATACAAGCTTCCTGCAGACGAGGCTAAATAATTTTCTACCGATGTTTCTTTTGCTGTGAAAAAAAGAGATAAAACAATTTTTTTAGTAAAATGATATTTTTTCGTACCCCGGAGTTAAAGTACGGCAGTCACGCTTGACAATCCATCGTTATTATTTATATGTTCTTTTATAGAAACCCCGGCGGGCGCCGTTTAGTAAGTGCTCGACCGAATCACTCTTATAGAACAAGATACGACGTAACTTGCATGTTATCGTCGAGGCGGGATTTTGGTGGATTTATTTAAGGATTAAACGAAAACGCGTTATGGCTAGCTTGTGGCACTCTGCACTATGACCTTCGACAGCTGGTTGTTCCGTTATAAACAAAATGATTCGGGAGTCTATTTAACAATTATAGAATATTCCAAACTTGTAATACCAATACATATGACGAATCTCACCTGAGATATAAACAAAATCACTGTCATTTAAAACTTCTCTTATGGGGTCTTTCAAATGTAATTTCCCATCACTCTGAGCCAAAACAGCCTCAAAGTTATTGGCGGGAACAGTGACATGTTCTTTCGAGCGACGAATTGTCTCTTCTATTAACCACTGGATAGAATTGACTCCATCTCCACAAGGAATTACATACCATGTACCATTGAATCGAACAGATAGTCGCATCATTCACAATCGTATTCAAAAGAGTTAAAACAAAACTATTAACAAACGTACAAGGCTTGTCGTCATCGGTTTAAAAATCGGGAAGTTGTATTTCGCATACGCATGTCCCATTTGAACTTGCCTGACCGGTTCATTCATTCAGTCAATCACGTTGTAGCCGTTCGTTGCGCACGTGTATTTCGCTCGCTACGTAAAATATTGCGATTATTCAAATACGTACAATCTCCCGCATGAACACCTTTGATGTTTTGAATACAGGTCAGAAAATAATGTACGAAAAGACAACCAATCAGATTGTAAAACTTGTCTCACGCCTCCGACAAGCCCTCGAACACACCCCCTTCATACCTCTGGTAACCCCTGGTAACTGGTGGGTAACTGGCTGTTCGCGCGCATATTTTCAAAAGACAATGCGCTGCACGAAGTCGAAGAACCACAATGGCGTCGTTAAAGGAAATTTGTGGCGGGCTTCCAGTGGATCCTCTCCCTTCTCCGCGAGATAGGGATGAATCTGTTCCTCATGCGCCTGTTAGAACAGTTAATCTTTCGGATGATGAACGCAGGGTATGGAAATAGAACTAAACATTCGACTTTGTCATTGAAAACTTTAAGCTAATTAATAAGCTGTGTTAAACTTTGTAGCTGATCTTTATATTAAAGTTATGCAACAGTAATGAAATTAATTCGTAGCCTCGGTTTTAAGATTTTAAAATTTTCAATCCATTCCCCATTGTATGGCCCTTTGGTGTGGCAAAATGTATTTACAGCCTATTAATTTTGTATTAATGCATGGTTGGCGTGTACACCAGCACGCGTGTTAGATAGTCACACTTCCCTCCTTAAATATTTACTTATTACGATTTATGGCTGGCAATAATTATTAAAGGAAGAGAAATACAAAAGCCAAGGGATGAAGTGCATTCTTCCAGCATGATTAGGGTTTACATGGCTTGAATACGACGATCATTAGACTTTTTTTCTCTGTTTTCTTTCATTTCCAAAAGTATTGAAGAATGAAACCTGAGAATAAAGGACCATATGTCATTTTTGGCTAATAGTTTAAATACAAACACAAACTCATTGTGCTGATCTCCACTCATATTTGGACAATAATTCTTTATAGTCACTCTTCTATCATGTGGGTGTGGTTATTTTGTGAGAACAAATGTGTATCTGGTTGAGAACCCGTCTCCTCAAGCATGCTGGCTTATTTTTTAAACATTTTTTATTCCATATCAAATCAAATCAAATCAACTTTATTGGTACAATAATCCTAAAGACGTTCTCAGGAATATTAAGCCTTAGTAATATAATTTTTCTTCAGTTTCACTTGGAGTTGCATGCCTTACTTGTCAGGAGCATTGAAGCCATCAGGGCATCAACTCAAGAAAAAAAAGAACAAAAAACAGAAAGCAAAAGTAGAGATAGTACTCTTAAAGCCAAAGTGAATGCAGTCAATTACATTGTACTCACAATGCACAAATAAGATTGGGAATTGCTGTGACAACGATTGAAACTGCTGATAAATTTAAGATATGTTGATATTCTTATAGTGCCATGATAGATTGCTATTCTTTAGTAATAATATTCTAAAACCAAAGCAAAGTGAAGCATGGCTTTGGAAGTAGTCTATTCTCTTTCTTTTATGCTTCTCCTACCTTTGTACCCTTTGTTGCTGGCATGGCCATTTTTCTCCTCTTGTGTATCTCACTCAATGGACTAACAAATAAGACAGACTGCTTGTTGTCGAGTAATATTAAATTCTTTATTTACTTTCTTGGGTTGCTTTATTGTAATCTGGAGAAAATCCAGGACAACATTTATAGTTAAAATTGTACATGAAAGTAATGCCCAGGGCATTACTTTATCAGTATAATTACACCTGTACTTTAATTTTTGTTTTCTAGTTAGCATTACAGAATGCTTTGAGGTATTTTCCTCACACCTGTCATCATGCGCTTGCTATGGAGTTTGCTGATGAGCTTAGACAATATGGCCACATCTACATGTATCGTTTTAGACCAGAAATTGAAATGCAGTAAGTTTACTACTGTATGCCATTATTTTGGTTGTTATCTGGTCTTTTTGCTTTGTCAGTCTACTCAATGACCACCAACAACCTTAACAGAACATTTTATGAGTTTTCATGAAAACTGATTGTAGATTTGCACCAGATCACCCTATGGTTTGAACAACTTGGCCCAGGGTAGCAATAGTTGTGCAGCCAACATCTTGCAACAAAAGAAATATTATGCCTTTTCCTATGTTGACACTGTATGTGGCCTTAAAGTTTGTACAGATAAAGATTATTTTCAGTGCATTTGTTTTGTTTGGCATAATGAAGCACAACTGGTAATTGTCATGTGTAGAGGTGACAGGAGGTTTAATTTTTATCAAGAGGAGATGTACTAATGTATGGGCTGGTGCTGGCCAGGCAGGACAATAATGTCTTGACTATGCACAGTGTGAAACTGGCAGTTAGCAGGTTTTCATGCAGTGTTTAAATTTTTATTTGATTTGAACATTTTCATGCTTCTTTTATAACGCAAGAGTCAGAAAGATCATTAATATTTGCTTATCATGTGGTTTTTTAATAGTGCTTACCCCATTGAAGAGTATCCAGCAAAAACACGACAAGCAGCAGCAATCATGTTAATGATTATGAACAATCTGGATGCCAGAGTTGCTCAGGTATATATGCAGCTAGCAAACCATCACATTTTTTAGCCAGTGTAGTGTAACCAGTGTGTATTTTAATTTTCAACTGTCTTGTGTACATGTTTGACCACTCTTTGTTACGAGAGATTGATAAGAGGGTTTAGACGAAGGTTTTTTGTTTCAAACCTCATTAAAGTTTGTTTATTTATAAGTCATCATTTATACGTCAAGTCACTGCTGAAAGCCAGGGTATTGACTTGGAGTTTGTGTTTTGTAACTTTCTTTTGTTATTTGCATTGCTAGGATTTACAATGAAATATAAGGTCGTCCAAACATCCAATCTACTTATCACTTTTCTCAGAGGAGTAACCAATATAATTCAAGTAAACAAGAAAGAGTTTCTGTTATATCAGTGTTATTGTATAAACATTAAAAGATTTTCTTTTGAGTACTATAGGTGTTTTGGGCATGCTTTTCTATTTTGACTATTGCTTATTTAAACTAGATTAATATCAAATTTTATTTTCATGCCTTGCCTATATAGTTTCCTCATGAACTTGTGACATATGGAGGGAATGGTCAGGTCTTCTCCAACTGGGCTCAGGTAATGAACCTGAATCTTCTTAACACGTGCTTCATTATTTCTGTTAAATTTTATCAGAGCAGATGCAAGTGAGGCCAATCATGCTTGTCAGTCATGCTTGTCTCCTGCTCCATGCCTGCCTTGTTCTTGCTTAACGCCTGTTTTGGCAGGCCAGTATTTTTTTACCTTCCCCCTCCCTGGTCACTGATGTACAGGTAGCACCACATGGCTTAGTTATTAACATGCCAGATTTATGGATGTATTCTAAGTTTGATTCTTGGCCATGCTATTTTGTTTTGTTTTTCTAAGCATGAAATTATTTGCGTTATGTTATTTAAATATATCTGTGTAACTGGTTTACTCGCAGCATAAATCTTGAGTGGGAACCCTGTTATGGACCAGCTTTCCATCAAGGGGTGGGTTGTTGCATGTACTCCTTAGGTGTTTTGACATGCTATTTTAATTGAAATTAATGTGTGATTAATGTGTGGTCCTGTAATCCTGTTTTTCAGTTTTGGCTTGTGATGCATTATTTATCAGAGATGACCGAGGAACAAACTTTGGTGATGTGTTCAGGACATCCACAAGGTCTCTTTCCCAGCAGTCCCTCAGCTCCAAGAGCCATCATTTCTAATGGCATGGTAATCCATATTAGTTCTGCAAATATTTTTGATACATTGAAAAAAATACAATATTGTGTGATCTCTTGAGTGTGTTATTTGGTTTTATTAGTGATAAAACCAGCAAAGCAAAAGATTTTATGGAAAAATAAAAAATACATCTTTTTCTTTGTCATTAGCTCAGACTGGTTTGTTTGAAGAGTGAAGGAAATTCATCCTTATATTATGGCCATTATGATTAAGAACATTGAACTGGAAAACATTGTTTTTGTAGCTGAACTGCTGTACTTGATCTGGTAGTATTGGTGACCCCTGTTCACTTGCTTTTGCCTTTGTGAGGGAAATTCATCCTTATATTATGGTCGTTATGATTAAGAAGTAACTTGACCTTTTGTAGCAAAAACAATCAACTTGACGACATGAACTAGACCGTCATAACCATTGGGGACAAGTGAACGAAAACGGAAAACAACTGAGATACATGTCCTTCATCCAAAACGGCTCTTGAGATAATCTGGCCACACTGGATTTCATAGTTTTATATAGCCAAGGGTTCACTATATGTTTTCTTAGAGCACACTTTTAGTTCATGACTATGGTTAATGTGCCACTTTTACAGCTTATTGATATGCCAGCCTTACTTGCTTCTAGGTTATTCCAAATTATTCCTCAAAAGAACTCTATGATAAGATGTTTGCTTTGGGTGTAACAATGTATGGGCAAATGACAGCGGGAAGCTACTGTTACATTGGTCCACAGGGAATTGTCCATGGAACAACGGTAAAGTTAAATATGTTTAGACTGACAATCGAATGATTTTATTTGTAAAAGCATATTCTTATTATATTCCTAGCCCAGGCACGACAGTGCAAGCTACTATGTAGTAACGGACAACCTATTTTTGCTTTAACGTCTAACAGTCATAAACATTATAAAGAGTACCTGTTGCATGAAAAAAAAAATCTTTATCAAGAAAACATGAATTTTGTAGCTTTGTTTCTTATTCAGATTGTGGTGTTGAATGCTGGTAGAAGACGGCTGGGAGTCAGTGATTTAAGGGGAAAGGTACATTTTCTTATCCTTGCATATTAGCAGGTTAATTATCAACATATTTTTCTTGATCAAGAAATTGGTAAGGAATTTTGATAAAAAGTCACAATAGAAGAACATCAGTGGTACATTCATATGATTCATTAAGCAGTCACTTACGGCATTATAACTTTGTTGAGCACAAGGAGGAATCCTGTCCTACCGGCAACAACAACGAGCTTTATTTGCATGACCATACAAACACATACAGTATTGCAAAAGCTATGTTTAGGAATCAAAATTACAACACAGGGAAATTATGTTACTTTGACAATAATTTGTCACGAGGATCAAAACAAGCTGAAATATATTTTATGAATTGTATATTGATAAAGTAATTAGAAGAGTTAATCAGTTCATTTATCAAAACGTTTATAGGTAACTGGGTAATATTTGGAATCAGAGTCTTGACTTTATAGTAAAATTTGTTCCTAATCATAGAGTATGTAGGACATTGAAAAGGAAAGTGAACTTCGTCTTCTATTACATTGCATCCACAAAAAAGGGCAATGCCTATTATCCTTCGTAGTTTGATTGTATCTGCCTATTTCTATCATTAGTTTGTGATTGCTTATTCATAGTTTTACTAAAGCCCTTCTCCCAGCTGTTCCTCTTGTTAAGTCTAAGTAACTAGGGGAGGTATGATCGGTTTTAAAAGATCTATAAAATTCAAGTTTTTGAGAATGTTGAAAGGTATTTTGCCAATATGAGATATATTCCTGTTTCATTGAACTTACATAGCTTTTTACCATAGCTGTATCTAATAAATCAGGGTTAAAGTCAGGAAGCTTAAAGTATTCTGACATATTCATTAAATGAGAGTGGAAGCTATTTTTGCCATTACAGTGTAAGTCGAATGACATAAAAAAAAAGCTCCTTGTTTGATGAGAGGCTTTCTCCATCTGGGGAGCCATAAGAAAATTGATAGTGACCAGCTAGCTTGTTCCAGGAAGGGTAAAGATTTGTATGCTCAGCCGCGTGAAGCCCAGCATGTGAATAAAAGATATCAACCCTTTCTTTTTAAAGAACATTCCTGAGCGATTACATCACAATTTTGTGCTGCTCGTCAAGCTATGAATGCCTACGTGAATGGGTGTATAATGATTAGCAAGGAAAGAAGCAATCTCGACTTTGATATTTCGGTCAATGATTATCAGTTTAATACAGTTGAGCCACTTCTTATTGACACATCTCTATTATGGACAGTTCTCTTGGTCCTAAAAATACTTACCATCACAATTCCACTGCTATAATTATGGACTTGATCTACACTCTACTTCTGTTATGCTGACAACAATTTTGGCTGACTGGCTTTTTTTTGTTCATTTTAATGAATGAGATTTGGCTGTTACATTATTTGAGTATTGAATAATAATGTCAGCATCCTCTAAGATTCAATAATGTTGTTGTAGGTCTTTGTTACGTCAGGTTTGGGTGGAATGAGTGGTGCACAGGCCAAAGCTGCTGTGATTGCTGGCTGTGTTGGAGTGGTGGCTGAGGTACATAAAATGTTATATATTTGTCTTATTCCATTTGGGGTGGTTCCAAAACATCAACACCTTGTTGAAAATTTGAGACCTGCTTAATGTGGCTAAAGAGAGTGAATAAAACACCTGAAAACAAGATGTAAAATTAATGTTTCCAAGATCTTGCAATCAAATCAATATTTTCTAGATCTTACCTTTAATATTCCACCTCTTCTACTTTAACTTTTTGTAGTGAAGTTTTTATTATTATGTAGTAATAATGTAATTTATTACACAGGCTTTCCACTGCATATGTATTACACATTTGATTAATGTCTTGCAGGTTAATGAAGCTGCCTTAAAGAAAAGACATGAGCAAGGGTAAGATTTTGTTATGACTTTTTCACTCTACTATAACCTGGTAACTTTTTAGCGTCCAAAACATTATAACCAAAGTTTCTTGTCTATAATGTGGATCCTAAAGTTTTCGTTTTAATAATGTAACAGTGTTTTCTGGCTTGTCTTTGTTGTTAGGTGGCTAATGGAGTACACCTCTGATGTGAATGTGTGCATTCAAATGATAAAGTAAGTCCTGAGAAGACATACTTGGTTCATCAACACCTTCAGCTGCCCCTCTGCATATTGTGTGTCTTGTAGTACAGTGTATTTTATATGAAGGCTTTGTCTTGTATTAGACTAGCTATGAAGTGTGTAAAAAATTTTTCCACGGTGTATAACCTTCCTAGTCATATCAAGATAAATTCCACTGCAATAAAATCTCTCCTTTTGTGTTGTAATTTTCCAAAATCACCTCGTGTCTGTTAGAAATACAGATATCCTGAAAAATGGTCACAAATACACCATATGCGTCCTTATCACAGAGTATGTGAAGGGCTTGCTCTTATACTCTTGTTTTAAAACTGAGGCATTGGGGCAAATTGGGAATTATGGCCTATATATATCCAGTCCTGCTTTCAAATTTGATTTTTGTGTGTGTGTGCAGGAAAGCTAGGCAGCTGAAAAAGCCACACAGTTTGGGATACCATGGAAATATAGTTGACTTGTGGTGAGTGAACTGTTTGTCAAGAATTGCTACGTTTTATGATGAGACTTGTCATGAAGCTTTGTAGATTTGCTGCTGTGTGATGCCATAAGAAAAGAAGCGATGACAAAATGAAGAAAACGTACATGGCGACGTTGATTCTTTATCATGTTTTATCTCTAGGGTGTTTACAGTACAGCTAGTGATGCTGGCGGCCAGCCCCAGATAAAGCATGTAAAATTGACTTTTTGTAACCCGTTATTTCCCAAATTAAGACAGCACATTATACTGATTCTAGTTAGCTTTTCTTTTAGCCACTGTTATCAAAGAGATTCTGACGACATGGTTATTTTGTTCCATTAAAGGGAGCGTCTGGTACAAGAATATGAAAGCACTGGTGAACTTCTTGTGGAGCTTGGCTCTGATCAAACTTCCCTCCACAATCCTTTCAATGGTGGTTACTACCCTGTGCAGGTCAGTGATGTCACAGGAATTCCAAGCTCGCGTTACAAGAAAGCGAGTGTTTCTCCTGGATGGTTGAGTGTTTCGTGGGGTTTTTCTCAAATTGGGACTCTGTCTTTCAGTTAGTGCCTAAACGTCTTAACAAAGAGCAAAGGAAACCCAAACAGCGAGAAAAGAGACTTTTTTTGTGTCATAAGCTCTAGGTGGCCGTACTGACAGAAAACTCTGATTGCGTCTTACGGAGGCCATTCTTGTATAATTTGACGACCGTTTCTTTTTACTTATACGTAGGTGAAATTTGATGAAGCAAACGAAATCATGAAAGATGATCCTGAAAGGTTCAAAGCCTTAGTTCAAGAAAGGTATGTTTACTATTAGAATTATATTGACTTAAATTATTATCATACAACAGCAAACCGTCTCTGTTAACAGCTTTGTCGTTATATATCTTTCAGCCTTCGTCGTCAGGTTGCAGCTATCAATAGACTGACTGCACGTGGAATGTTCTTCTGGGACTATGGCAATGCATTTCTCCTCGAAGCTAGTCGTGCAGGTAAAACGTTACAAACTAAGAGAGCAAACATTGCAATCGTGTAAAGTAGAAAGAGAGAGAGAGAGAGAGAGCTCTGTTTGAAGAAACACTATTTATTCAGGTAGAATTCAGTGGGTTGATTGCTTTGATAGGTAGTTTTTGTTCGTTATAAAAATGAATTTTAACCTATTTTTTGCAGTCTTTTTGCATCAGTTAATTCCAGCTGCGCCCACCGTCCTCCAAGCCAAATTTCGTGCGCCCCGGGTGTCGGGCATTTGTCAACCTTGGGGCCAAACCCTGTCTTTTTACGCCACATTGTTTCTGACTCGAAATCAAATGAGATAGTGAGATCGGGAGCGATCCTAGTGAGTCGACGTACTTTTTGTTTATTGAATTAATCTTGTTTCGATCAATTAAGTGGCCTTAATATTCAGAACAGCTGGCTTTTATACGAAAGACCATTTAATCTACGTCAGTGCTCTAAATGGCTTGTTTGCTAGCCTGCAAATACATCCGTCTTTACTCGCTCCTCCTCGACGCTTAAGAAAAAGAGGCGAGGAGCTAGCAGAGACGAATGTAGTCGCAGGCTTAAGGACATGACGCACTCGGTTTTCAATAAACTATGACATCATCTGCCTTAAACCTGTCAAATCGGTTAAACAACCTAACATAGCAAGTTACGTTATGTTAAAGAGACTTCCCCGCATTCTTTCTTACGATAAAGACAAAAGACGATGAGATCATCGAAGTAAATGTATCCCTACCCTCAATAATGGAGCTCACCGGCCAAAAAGCGGTCTAAAACATCCGTACTATACTACTACTATCAAGACAAACTACATTAGAAGGTTACATTTTATGGCACGTAGCACTGATCAATATTACTTTACCCCGATGCTTTTATGTTCTAAGGAGCTGATGTGTGCAAAGAAGGAGCGCCTCTGGGAGTGTTCCGTTATCCTTCCTATGTACAGGATATTATGGGGTAGGTACTGACAGCAATTTATTTAGTTCTTTCCTCCAGCAGTTAACATTCGCGTTTTGCAGCTGCCCGCTTAGAGACGTTTGGCAGGATACAGTTCTGTTGTGAAATGTCATGTGACCTCAAAGTAACCAATGAGAGCACGCGTTGCTACCTTTATACCCAACGTATTGTGCCTAAGTTCTGTGTCTATCTATTTTAAAAGTATTGTGATAATAACCTTCGTTCCGATTCTCGAATGTATTTACAGAATCTTTTGATTTGATTTACAGCGATATTTTCTCAATGGGCTTTGGACCATTTCGGTGAGTGAATGAAAAACAATTATCTTTGCGTTCTGAATCTAAAACGTTCAAAAATGGATATAATGAAATCGTTACACCTTCGTAAGTATCAAAGACATTTTATTCTGCGTCGACTACTGTTTGGAAAAACTTAACTTTCGCGAAGGAATTGATTCCGTCACATCTGCTTCGTCTCTTATTATTATCATACCATGTTTAACGCACATTTTCCTCATCCCCCCTTGTACATTTAGATGGGTTTGTACTTCCGGTCTGGCAGCCGATCTGGCAACAACTGATGAAATCGCCAGAAAAGTATTGGAGCAAATTATGGCTGAAGGATGTGAGTTTCAAGCCATTTAACTATCATCTTGTTAATTGATAGTTTTTAATATTCTTTTTCTAAGCACACCAAATCATACAGCCTGGCAATTTTTCGACATTTTTTTGGAAACTAGGATGCACTACCTCCTTCCCAGGGCCCGGGTCTCTTTTTCGTCCTCTTCAGGGTACCGGAAGAGGAGAGAGCCTGGGAATGAGGTGTAATTACACATTTAATATTTAATCTTTAATCCGCTATCTAAACTTGACCTGTGTGACGTTTTCAGGAGGAAAATTTCAGGAAACTCTTGCTCGCTTCTCTTGGCCTCAATGAAAATAACATTATCAACGCGAACAACTTCAAACGTGTTAATTTTGTTTTTGCAGTACCTGTTGAAGTAAAAGCTCAATACGAAGACAACATTAAGTGGATAGAAGAAGCGCAGCAACACCATTTGGTTAGCTTTTAAAACCTGTACACATCAATATTTATAGAGAACCTGCTTTGTCATAGGACAAATTGACTATTTTTTGAAATAAAGTATAATTTTCCTTTCATTATCTAACGGTGAAATAAAGGTTTGTGTGTACATGTAAATAAAACTAAAATGGGACGTGATTACATCGCAGACTTTTTTACGCACACCGCTAACTTGCATTTGATGATTTGATGACGTCATTAGGTCGCTCTTAGCTTGGTATTAGAAAAATTTCGAATCATGATTTTGACAAACGTGCTCGTTTTCATTTAAAAAGCCGATCTTATGTATTAATGTTATAACTAATAGAATCTGTTGAGTCGTTACAATGTTTGATCAGTTTAATCTGTTTATAGGTGGTCGGTTCCCAGGCTCGAATTTTGTACTCAGACCACCGCGGCCGTGTGGCTATTGCAGAAGCATTCAACAAGGCGATCAGCGAGAAGCGATTGATGGTAAGACTATTTTATTTCAGTTTCGGTGGATCCTGTCCACTGAATAATTTACGTTTGATGTCTTTTTTTGTTTCAGGGTTGCGTGGTCATAAGTCGGGACCACCACGATGTCAGTGGAACAGATAGGTAATTCAGACCTTAACAGCTTTTTATTCTGCTATAAATATTTTTGTTCGCCGTTTCTTTAGCGTTTCTTTGGGTCATGCGGTACATGTTGTGACTGGCAGAAGTAATTACCTTACAGTAGGTCTGAGTTTTACGTTACTCGGTCTAAAGTAAATAAAGTAACTTCTTTGGTGGAGAGAATTTGTTATGCTGTTAAATACGATGTGTTTTACACTCTATTGTTATCACTCAAATTTATGATAGCTTGTGTAAATTTTGTTTCCAGCCCTTTCCGTGAAACTTCAAACATTTACGACGGATCAAGTTTTTGTGCAGGTTTGTGGTTAGCGCACTTGAAGCCAAAAGCCAGCGGTATTAATTGTTGTACTACTGGCCCGTATAAAATAATATATTAATAAGGACAAGGTTCTTCTGCGCATAGGTAATAAATGAAAAGTAAATAAATAAAACAAAAAAGGACGGTAACATAAGGAACTACTTGTGACTATGTATCTAACTTAACTTAGCTAAAGTTATGTTTTAGTCAGAGAGGACAAAGTTCCTCAGAGGTTAACGAAAAGTCTGAGAATTTTGTTGAAAGTAAGGGAAAGTCTTGGTTCTTATCAATGTCATGAAAACGTATATATATTCATGTCCTTCAAAAGGAGTTTTAGAAAGATAATATGAAATGTAAGGTCTGTGAAAGTTTATCAGGTGTCAGGAAAAAGTCAATAATGCCAAATGCCAACCCTGGTCATGCGTAAATTGGAGTCAGGAACATACTGCTCGTGATAGCTGATGTACAGGATTTCTAACGTCCTTTTTCTAGATGGGGAAGGTATCGCGACTACACGTACGGTGTATTCTGGCCAGTCCGGTATTTGCTTGAATCTTTAGATGGCTCTTTGCGAACTCCTACAGAGTGATAAATAGTACCAATTGATAGTAATTCTTTTTGTAGATATGGCTGTTCAAAATGTTATTGGTGACTCTTTCCGAGGAGCAACGTGGGTTGCACTTCATAATGGCGGCGGGGTCGGCTGGTAAGTTAGGATTTAGTATATTGAAAAGTTATTTTGAAACCTGTCTATATTCACTGGGATATTTGTATTGAACCCTCAAAATTGAACAGTCCTTCAGTATTGTCGTTTTCTTTTGTTATCTTGAGCTTTTTCTTCCATATCCCGTCAGACGTGAGAGTTTGTTGTCGGTGTACTTTTCGTTAAATACTAGTAACACTTGAGGGTCATATAGTCAAACCTGCTGACTATAGCTTTACTTGGCAGGCTAATTAAATGACGTTTTTTTTTGCAGGATGCTTGAAATACTTCATCGTCCTTTGTTAGTCTTTAAGTCTTTTGACTGTGATGATCCTCATTTTAATAGTAAATTTTCTGTGTTTTTCTTTAGGGGTGAAGTTGTCAATGGTGGCTTTGGTCTGGTGTTAGATGGATCTCAAGTAAGTTTTATCGATTAAGTGTAGAATCCGGTAGTATTTTTAATTTATTATTCGACACTGCAGGCTCATAAAATATACGATACAGTTGAGCGCCTCAACTAAAAGTGTATATACAGCTTAATAAAGATGAAGTTGTCACTAACCGTTCGTACCAAGTATGCAAGAAATTTTATCTCGCTTTAGAATTAAGTAATGTCATTTTAAAACGCTCTTTTCCACCGCGTTTTTACTCCCTGAGCTTTTCTCTAGTCGATAAACTTCAAGATGCTTGGTACTCTCGACATTTTTTGTCGTGTAGGTTTAGCAAAGATAACTGTGTGCAGTATGGCAGTAGACGAATAAGTTTTTACACGACATATGTGTTATGAACCCATACTTCATACGACCACTTCTTTGAATTGTTATTTTGTTGGCAGGATGCTGGTAGCAAGGTTCGTATGATGTTATCCTGGGATGTTAACAATGGGGTGAGTCTATTGTTTAAACATATATTTTTCCCAACCAGTTTATGTTTTTTCTCTCAAGAGGTTTGCATATCAACTTGATTACTCAAAGGGGAACTCTTTAAAGAAACTTATTTATAGAGAGTCAATTTACTGACGAATATTTGAACTTGGAATTCCGATTTCTAGGCTTGTAATAGCATTTTACTCACTGGGACTATAGGATTTGGCTACGTTATTTCTCTTTTCCACTGGCAATTGGGTTTGAGACAAACTTTGATTGGAGACTGGGCAGGGGGAAAACAGATTAGTAAGATGCACCCACAGGAACCTCGAAATTTAAAAGTTACGAGGAAATTAGTCCTACCTTGATTATAGGGAGGAGATTTGTTTTCCTTTTTTTCGATTGCTTTGCTGTTGGAATCAGTCTGCGGTCTATTAAGTTATTTGTGATCGAGATCTTCAAGAGATGCGTCACCACCCATCACTTTGTTGCTGTAGATTTTGCTAACCGTAACTGTTTTGCTGTGTTCAAGGTTGCTCGCCGTTGCTGGTCGGGAAACATCCATGCAAAAAAGGCCATCTGCAAGGCCATGGAAGAGAATCCTTTATTGAAGGTCACCATTCCCTGTCACGTCCAGGACATCACTTTACTGGACAAAGCTCTTAAGCCATGAAGAGCCTTGTTCGATTATATGTGTGAGACAGTGTATACCAAGGGAAGACAAGCTTCATAGACGTCGCCAACAAGGAAAAGAAAACAACTTATTCAGTTTCAGTCTCTACTAGAAGGGACCTTACGATACGACAGCGGCGACCTCCACGTCGCTGAAAAACAGACTTCGCATCATTTTAAACTTTTTCGCGATTATCCCAATTCGCCCTGTTACTTAAAAGAAGGGGATTTTGGCTGGAGCTGAAGGGAGGGGAACGCGCTCAAGTTCGGACAGAGATGGTAGAATTTATCGCCTTGCCGTTCCCGTTCCCAAGTAAACTTAAAATTTGGTCATTTCACGTCGTAGTTGTGCAGTGAAGGCAAAGAAATGTACAAAAANTCACGGTGAGAAAAGTTGCTACTCGAATGGGGTCTTCCTTTCTGGCTGTTCCGATAGCTAGCTCATAGTTACTCCACTTTTGTTTAAATCTTTTCCAATTCTGAGATACATTTCCACTTGAAAGCTGCAGAGGATCCGGCGGGTTTAACAGACGCCCGGCCGCCATTTCACACCACGCGGTTTCGATTTATGCGAACAGCAACGAACCAAGGTGTTCACAAGACAAATATTTCACAAATGCGGTCGGCAAACAGCTTCATCCACTGACTTCTGACACCATGTGTTAGTCCTTAGCTTCAAAACGAGCAAACTTAACCAAACAGTCTTTAATCAGCGAAAGCTCAAATCAACTTACAAGAACGTACCCGAAACGTTTTTCTGAGTATGCGATATTATGTCAGCGGTATTGATTACTACTTCATAATATCACAGTGACATCTTCACACACTATACTTTATTTCATACACATCATTTTGCCATCTCCACCCGCAAATAGCAAAAGCTAGACGAGGCGGGCGGAGAGGATAACAGATAATATTGTAAAGTAACTAAATAAACTATGTGGATAAATAAGAATTACAGAAAAACAAGCTAAAGTTACAGAATATATAGTCTTACAGAATGATATTACAATCAGATTTACTACTAACAGAACCTATCGATTATTGGTGCATTGAGTCTAGGATGCAGAATTTGCCATTTTTTGTAGGAGAATGGGCACTTCAACATTCGGTTACCATTAAAACAAGGTTTATAGAGATTATTTTGATGCTGAAAAACTCTCATTAAAAGTAAGCCTCAGAGCTATGTTGTGTTCACTGTTTGTTGTCTTTGTATTACTTTCAAATTTTACTTTATCTCATAAGGAGGTTGATTATGATCATCAAGGTGAAGGTAGTCCTTAATAGGACTGTTGTTGTTGACAGTGACTGACGTTACGACCAGCTGTGCGGTAGTCATCTTCAGAGTCAAAGTGAGTTGTATCACGTCAGTTGATGGTATTAAACTCTGGTTATTGACCTGATTGGTCAATTAAGTCGCGATGTTATTGGTCGCCTGTCAGTTTTAAGCCGTGATGTAATTGGCTATGAAGACTTGTAATGTCATTGGTGCGTTTCTCTCCGTCTATCGTTATTTATTCTTAGTCTTATTGTCAGTTGTCCAGTCTTTCTCTCGAAGTTAGTTTTGCTTGATTCCGTCAATAAGTCGTTTGTACAGTGCCGGTGACTGTTGACAACGATTAAGTGGTGTTTGGTCTAAGTTAGTAAACCATCTTTCTAAAGTGAGTCGTTGATAGTAGTCTGTAGAATACTTAATACATGTCGCAGAGTCCCAGTCGATTTGATGTTTCGTCTGTAAACGGTCGTCACCATTTCTCGTCGCTCGTTTGAATCGATTGGGACTCTCTATAGACTACTATTAACGACTCACTTTAGAAAGTTGGTTTACTGACTGAATCGTACTGAACCGTAGCCGCTGAATCGTATTAAACAGTTACTGGCACCGTACAAACAACATATTGACCCTCATGACGGAATCCATTATGGCTCTTGAATCAACTCAACCCACTCATCAATCATCTCATACTCAATTTATACGTATGAAATGACTCCTGGGTTCAAAAAACCTTTCACAGTTTTACTTTATCTCTTGCTAAGTGAAGTCTGTTAGTTGTGAGAAAGAAAAAACCTTGAAAACTGGGATTAACGAGACGTCTTTAATAGACGTCTATTAGGCTGCAGTGGTGAAATATTTTCCACGTTGAGTGTATAGCTACTCCTATCCCGAGAAATACAGGAAGACAGGTTCTAAATCCCAAAACAAAGGACATGCCAATAATCGAACAAGAAATGTACCTGGAGAGTATGCAAAGCAAAGGGAGAGAATTGGAACCCCAGTCCTCAGCTCCGAGGTAACCGAGGCAAATGATATGCCACTTATTCTGATCATCAAGATGTTCTTGTCTGCCTTGTCCACTCGTCTCAACTATGAGTTCGCCTGAAGTGTATTGGTGACATAACCGAATGGAACGCGTGAAGGTACCGGTGCTCGAGTACTCCCTTGCCCTGCAATATCTTCACTCTTGCTTTATCCCGTTGATGTTCGTTTGCTCGCTTTTTTCTTACTTTGTAAGTATCACAAAAACTCCATTTCATTCCTAGTGATGAAAATTTGTCCGGTGCACTCAAATGGATCCAGGAACCCAGGTTTGTAACTTAATTTATACTCCTTCTGTAAGTAGAAACCATCTTGTGGTATATTTTACGAACACAGTATTCCATGATTTCACACCAGGATAGCATGCTCGCTCCTAAGAAGAGACCATAGAAGCCGCCCAGGGTAGCTGCCAAGAAAAAGTCGTAAATGATAACTAACATTTTAACATATTTTAAGTTAGAAACTGATAATTTAGACTTGACACTAAGACGGCATTTATCTCTTGATAGAGCGATGTAGTAAAAGCGATCCGCGTTGTCCGTCTGTAACCACACTGAGAAACAGCGATCGCGATGTGATTATTACGATTAAGACGTAATTTTAGCGAAAGCAATGTGGCGATAGTGATCATAAAGTAAATGGCGAGGCGAATGATGGTTTGGGCTGACGGCGTTATGTGTGTGATGAGTTTCTGGTTTTATGATATACCACTGACACACATGACACTTGGGATAATTGTTTGTTTAGCTTGGAACTTTAGTCTATCCAGTATCAGAGTATAAACAGGTGTCTAAGAACTGAATAGCGCTTGCATCACTTAATGCATCTCTTCTGTAATCATAGAGCAGAGTAACCTAAGCTCTGAGTATTGACCACAAGTAATACACTAACCAATGAAACTGAATGGCGCAAAAGAAGGCACTTGTTTGAACTCTAGATAATGTAAATCGCTAAAGTAGACGTCCAAGGAAACGATGTTGTTGCTGCAAGAAGAAACAAAATTAGGTAAGTAAAGTCTTGTTATTTAATTCTATAAGCTGGACTGGCTCCCCGTGATGGCCTACACGCGGAACTTCCGCCCGCGAGGGGTACCTTTTGCAGACTTTACGTATTTAAAAGGGTAGGGATTTCACAAGTTTGTAAATATGAAAGGGTAGTGAAATTCACATTTTAGTTATTTTAAAAAAAGGCGTCAACTAAAATATTTCGAACAGATGCTCTTCAGTAATGGTTGTATCAATTTAATTTATTGAACGCTGTATAAAATGACAAGAAGACTCACTGTAAATAGGGATGTGAAAGGGTACCATGGTAAGTTCATGGGTGTATTTCCTTGCCTAGTCCAGAATGGCCCATAAAATACTATCTATTGATTTAGACAACTTACTCTATGAAATCACGCTTTTCCGCTGTAGTCATGTTGAGAAATGGCTGATATTCGCTGTATAACGACGGGTTATGAGTTGGTGATGTCTTTAGAAATGCCATGAGATGTTCCGCAAAAATACTTCTCTCGAGGCGAGCGTACGATAGAGATGACTCGTACTCTTTTTCCTCGCAGGGTAGTGGACAATCCTCTTCACATTTTCTTTGCTCCTCAGATGAAATAAGACTTTCTACAAATTGTTAGAAATTGTTTTCAAAGGAAAAGAAGTCTCTGATCATTAAGAGAAGTCTTAGTTTTAATCGTAAGTTATCTTTTTTTAGAGTAAAAGTTGCAAATGCAGAAGTATGGGTAGTGGTGTTGCTATTGGCGTATTTCTTTTAGTCGCCGATTATTTAACACTTCCCTTGTAAAGAAGGAGGGAGGTACGTTTGACATTATTGGACTGAATAAGATATGAATAATTAATAGACAGAGACCAGCCTACCACTACCACTGCCTTGGTACCTAGCAAATGTTCATCTGTACTTCTCAGTTGAAGCTTAGAAAAATTGGTTTGTCATGCACAAAGAAAGAATAAATACTACAGGGCAGAACATTTAGACGGCGCGGTTTTTAAATCAAAATTACAAGAGGTGGCGGGGTAAACGTGTATTTTTCATGCCATCCTTTGTCCAATGTACATTTATTTACATTAATAACGATCATATTCTTAGTAAAAACTTACCAAGAGCGGGAAAAACACAAAATATTGTATTATTCGGAGCACAAACTTTAGATGTCCCTAAAATGAAAAAATCATGTGAGAAAGACAAATGCTTTTCCTTTCATGGCAATAATCTGTTTAATGGAGTGCTTTCCAGCGGCCAGGGACCAGTGCAACCTCACAGAAGGGAGGCAAAAACTCGAACAAACCTAAAACGATCGCTCTGGAAATGCGTGGACGATTGTTTTTCACTCAGGAAACGGGTGTATTAGACTTGAAAGCCAAGTCATTGTTAGTCTGGATCATGAGCAATAACCTCATTTTCTCGTGCAAACCATAGCGTTAGGAAAGTACTCTTTCGAGATGGCCATGTGCTAGCATTATAGTGTCGTCTCTGTTAGCACGAGGGAGAGGCTTAACGACGTCAGAAACCAACATCCACAGAACTGAAATTTACTGTCAGGCCAAGAGTACATATGTTCTCTCGTTAGGCATATTTGTACAGCTGAAATGTATATGGAACATTTTCTATCATGAGTGATTTAAATAGTGCGTTTGAAAGAACACCTCTAATTTGAATGTGTCAAATTTTCTTGATTAAATCAACTGCCATTCGTAGAAATTTCGAGAAATTGCCTAGGAGTAAGGAAAATTTTAGGCCAAATTGTGTAGTGAATACAGTCTATGCACATAAAGATAGCAGTAAATTAACAGTCCGGAATATCCCTATAGCTAAATTTAGGGACAGGGCCAACTGGTCACGCGACGCTTTTCAACCAATGATAAGGCGCGCTTCCGTTTATCAAAACACAAATCAAAACATCGCCCCAGTGATTAAAAAGACGGAGTAGGACAGGATTAAAGATGAGCTTACAGCACTCGTCTAGGTTTCACATTTAATATTTCAAAGAGAGCATTTCATGTAAGAGAATAAGAGCATTAATCATTGCAACGAATCATCGAGGCGTTCGAACTGATTCCGGACCGATCGCAGAGATCGTGGCTTCACATAGAGAAGGATGAATGTTTGTAAGCGAAACTGAAACATTTACAAACCAAACTAAGTATATAAAGTGGAAAATACGTTACCGTAAAACATTGGAGGTCGACATCCACACTTTTTGACAATAACCTGGTTTTCACACTTTTTGAGGCAGACCAGTTTGGTGTAATTGTACACATCACCAGTGCTTAACATTTGTAATGTTCTTTGAGTGCAGTTAGTCTGATATGGGGCTTCCAAACTACGCATCTGCAGACGGAAAAGACAGCACAGTCAATCAATCGTTTCAAAGTTCTGTATTTCAGTTCATATCATTTCCACCACCAGGTATAATCCAAACTCACAATGATCTGCTTTTCAGCTGCCTTGATTAGCTATATGGATAGAACATTGCGTCCAGTCATCGCGAAAGTCAGAGTTCGATTCCTGTCAAAAAAGCCTGAATTTTTCGTCTCTTTCAGGTTCTTTTTCAACCGCTTAGATCGCTCATTCTCCTACGAAGATCATGTTCACTTTCATACAATCAGTTTTAATAATTACTTTAGTTTAATTGATAAAAATAAGTTGTCACCCAGCTATAAAAATTCACTTTTGCCTAGCATAAAAAGAAACTACGAATTTTAATACGGTCGCGGAAGCTGAATAACTATGCAGGAATGCGGCCGTCTTTTAATTTCTCAGCGTCCTCCATCCATTTGGAAAATGGCTTCCCTGAGATACATTTTTCACACTGGAAGCCGCTAAGTTGAATTAGTCTTGGTAGAACACTTATTGTAAAACATGAACACGCTATGTATCTTAAAATAGCAGTCACAAGAGAACTGAATCCAAATATGCTTTTTTTGGTGTGTTTTTCGTTCGTGTGTTCTGGAGGTCCAAAAAGGAAACGAAGAAGAAGGGGACGAAAGAAAGAAAGAAGGTATAGAAAACTTTTCTCCCTCATCGTTTTCTTGTTCGATATCTGTTCAGCTTTCGCAAGGCTCTTACTTTACGACCCACGATCGATTCAAAACACACAAAGAAACCACCTGTTACACAAGCTACAATCGATACGATATTTGCGATAGTTTATGAGGGGTTGTTTTTTCCATTTCATCCTTGAGATTGCTGACCTTTTTTTCCTTCACGATTGCACTGATAATAAAAAGTTGGGAATCATTAAAATGAACGAAAAATATTTCCCACAATACCTTGTCACTTTGACTATGTGTCAATGAGTCTACCAACAAAGACTAAAGACGATGGGAATTGTTCAAATAGCTTGACTCAGTTATCGTAAATGGTAGCAAGACTGATTTTTTGAATGAATAGTATTTGTTTAATTATATTTTAGGTTTATTTCAAAATTGTAAGGTGCATTTGAAAACATTGTTGAATTTTGCGCGGTATAAATCAATTATTATTATCATAATTTATTTATCAATGCATTTTGAAAATGGCGAAGTTTATCCGAAAGAAAACAATGGTGACAATACGTATACCTCAACCTCATTAATAATTTGTAAGAGTAAACCAAAAGTAATTATTTTTTCGAAGGAGGTTCGCAAATCAGATTCATAATTATATAATTACCAACAAACGAAAGGAAATGTCCGTTTAAAGGGCTAGAGCAAAACCTTACAGGATTATTTTAGCCAATGGCCGCTTTCACGCTAGAAACGGATTATTCGTCGATAATAAGTCTTCAAAATCCGTCAAAATTGACCAAAAAACCGCAGACAAATTAAGAGAATAAGGGCAGACGGATTATTTGTCCAAAATTAAAGCAATTTCTTTTTCACCTTCGAATTATCCAACCGATATAATAACCCTTCTGAGACGGATAACCTTTCTCTATTTATGAAAACGGCCAATGTTCAGTTATTTCAAAAGGCTGTATTACTTTTTTAATACCTGTTTCATCTTAAAAGAATAAAAGGTTTGAATCCCTGGTGCAACTCCAAGACTGACTTCTTCCATAAAGGGAAAGTTTTTCTGATCATGTACAAGAACTGCCATCCCGGCAAAAGGCCTCTTGGCATTTTTCAAGTAAGCGTCTTTCTGTATATTTAAGCGCAGCTTTAACCCGCTGTTTTTGCCCGCCATTCTAGCTTTCAAGAGTGGTCCTCCATTCCGGCCTGAGTTAAATGTGAAGCACTGCCCGTAGAATGAGCTAATGAAGCTAGTGAAGTTGGTTGCCCCACATTGCAAGCCATCAAATGAACAAGATATAAATGTCGGTGGAACATTCGGGAGGAGCATTTCATCAATCTGATGACCATGTTCTTTCAGGACTGCTTCCGCATCTCGTAGAAGTAGATCGTCAATCCCATCCAGGTCGTCTTTCATGGTGTCTTTGGACAGCAAAAGAATTCTTGAAATTTGATCAGCTTTTTTAGCGACTTCCTCCTCTTTCAAACCATAATTACGAGAAAGTGTATATCGAATCTTCTTCATGTTTGCAATATTAAAATTGCAAAGTGTAACCGCTGGGAAAATCATCTCGTTTCTTTCTGGGCTTTTCGAGGTAATCTTCGTAATAAACGGCCTTTGATAAAACTCTTTCATTGATAAGTACGACTGATAACAGCAAACTGAAAAAGATGCGAGAATAGCCAGGCCCCAGAGAATTCGCCGCAATAAATTGTCAGCATAAAGGAACCGAGCCCCATGAAGAGATGTTGCATTCAAGAAGCTTTGCAGTGTTTCAGGCATATGATCTCCTTTGTTTTCTTCATCCTGCGCTGTTCTGTGAAATCTATTCACTTCAGCTGCGTTTTTGTTTTCGTCGGGACAAATATCATCGCTATGAGACACTTTTATCTTGAAAGGCATGGTTGTATGGTCTTTTTTAAGAGAGATTCCTATAGGTGTTTAATCTAAGAGACTCATGACAGGACTGTCGTAATGGTTGTAGTTAGCGTTTCCGTTGTTGTTTCAGACAGAGTTGTCAAGCTGCGCTAGGCCTTCAGATGCCAAAACAGGTTATTTTGTTATCAAAAGTCTACTTATGTTATGGCTAGTGTTTTCCACCACCCTGGTCTGTTCTGTGAACTCCATTCATTTCAGCTGCGTTCTTCTCTTCGTCGTAACAAATATCATTACCTCTATGAGATACTTTTGTCCTGAAAGGCATCATTGTATGACTATATATGCCAATGGTCTTTCCTTATCCCAGAGGACGAGTGAGTCCTATGGGTGTGATAAATTCAAAGAATTGTCGTTTTTCGGTCAGCATTTTCGACAGAGTTGTCAAGTTGCGTCAGACTTTCAAATACCAAAAAAGCTTTCTTTCTTAATTAAAACTTACCTAAATTTATGCAAAGTTTTTCTCCTCCTTCTGCTTTTGCAGTGGAAAAGACAAGGGTTCTAATGTTAGAGCAAGAAATTAATGATCGTACTTCCTTTTCTTTCAAGACTTGCCGGATAATTTAGAAGCCAATCTGTTTTAGCGCTTCGTGAATGAAAAATTCTTTCTAATAATTTAAAATTGAGATGTAGCATAATGTCCTGCGAGGAGTTACGACTAATATTTAATTCTCTACACAGATTATCATAAATAAAAAACAATTCATGCTAGAAATATCCCTCTTCAGTTTTCAACCTTTTACCGCATGCAGTTGAATGCGGCATTACATGGCATGCACTTGAATGCGGCATTACATGGCATGCACTTGAATGTGTCCCATTCACGTATCAAAAAGTGGGTCGCAGAAACAAAGCGAACTTGTTTTACGGTTGTTCATAAATCAATTTGAGAAATGGGACTTGTCGGCATCCACCTGTCTCGGGAGACAAGGGAATCAGCTTTAAGATTTAGTCAGTGGTTGAGTTGCAGCGCCTGCCTGTGGCTGTACGTACAGTCCGATTCTGGATCGGCAGGCTCTGTAGCAGTTGTTGAAACTTAGCTCTGTGATGCTTCCCTTAGCCGTCTGCGCTCTTTCTTCTCCTCACCAGCCTGAGTGCCTGCCTTGACAGCAAGCCTCCAGTGACTTCGGTCTGTAGCTACAGCTTCCCAACCTGCAGGGTTGATATCGCCTGCCTTCAGATCTCGTTTAAGTTCACCGTTGAGTATTTCCTCAGGAATTCTCTCTATGGGGCTGACATGGCCAAGTCAGCGCAGCCGTCTCTGACTGAGTAATGCAAACATACTAGGTACTCCCGCCCGCGCTAGGAAATCCTTGTTTAGGACACGGTCTTGCCAGGTGATGGCCAAAATCCTTCTAAGGAAGCGCAGGTGAAAGGTGTTGAGTTTGCGCTCTTGGCGGGAGAGGGTCTAGGTCTCACTGGCGTAGAGCAGCGTGCTTAGTACGAAGGCCTGGTAGATCTCTATCCCGGTGCTGATGGTCAACATGGTGTTGTCCTAGACCCTCATTCTGTGATGTGCCAGGCAGAGTGCTGCTACTGGTTTACCAATCCGTTTGTTCAGCTCGCTGTGTAGGGATAGGTTGCTGGAGATGGTGGAGCCTGGAGATGGTGGAGCCTAGGTAAGTGAAGTGACTGATGCTGAGACCAAATTTGCATGAATCGCTTTAAAGCACCCTCAGTATGTGCGGTGAGGACGGCGTCGTTGGCAAATAGCATTTCGCTTATCTGTACTTTCCGAACCTTGGTCTTTACTTGGAGGCGTGCAAGGTTGAAGAGGTTTCCGCCACTTCTGGTGTGAAGGTACACACCATCTACTGAGTAGCTGAAGGAGCAAGACCGCACCTTCGTACTGGACGGTTCCTTCATGGAAAACGCTGTCATCCTTTGAAGCTTCCGTTGTGGGGGCATCCAATCCTCTGCAAGAGATTGCTGGATAGGGCCTTCCTGATGACTGGGTTGAAGGCCTTGGTCAAGTAAATAAAGGCAATATACAGGGGTTTCCTCTGCGCATGACACTTTTTCCACAGCTTCCTCAGTGGTAAGACTAATCATGTCAATTGTTGACCTTTCTGCTCTGAACCCGCACTGCGCCTCAGGGTACACTTTTTCTCACAGCATCTGTCACCTGTTCAACATTACACGGGCAAAGGCCTCTCCAATGATACTGAGGGGATATTCCACGGTAGTTGTTACAATCGCTGTAGTCTCCCTTGTACTTGTAGAGCGTGATAATGTTGGCGTTGCGAATTCCTTGGGAACTGTTCCTTCCTCCTAGCACTGTAGCAAGAGCTATAAATGTCAAATGAGACTGATTTCATACTATCAGAATAAAAGCCTACATACGGTGTGCACCAAGAGAGGATAAACGGGACAGAGAACGCATCCCCTATACACACCCTATTCCATAGGTAATTCGTCTCGAGTTATTTTTAGAATCGGGATAAAGTTACCTCGCGCGCTGCGTGGATGTGTCGTGGAGGTTTTGCATGGCCAAACGTCGTGCAAAACATGTCGGGCAAGAGGCAATGAAAGCGTAAAGAGATCGAGAGCATTCCTGAATATCTAAGCGAAATGAGTCGGCGCTCACCTGGGAAAAGGGAATCGCTGGACTCTTTGTCAACTCGTGAAATCAGTTTAACTCGAAGTTTTCGTAACCTCAGTGCTTTAATAAAATGAGAAATTTCGCTGATCTATTGAAACCGGTGGTTTGTACAATAGAGCGAGGAGGACGCCAAGTGTTATTTTTGTTGAATAATAAAAGACTAATAAAAGAATAAATATCAAACCAGAAATTGCTCTCTTCCAGCTGTAAATTATAGATGATCCTGAGAGAATATTCAGTGTGTTAACGATTTCCCTGCTGTACTGTTAGTTCTATACAAGAGAGGAAGGGCGATTCTTTTAAATTTCCGTTTCGCTGACACATCTTTAGCAGAAATCTCTCTGTAGCCGTTTTAGTCGACAAAACGAACAGCAATATCGCTCTCCGCGTCTTCCACCATTTTGTTCTGTGTCAATTCGTGGAGGACGCGTGGCTCTGAGCGTGGGTCATCCACGCGGAACACATTCGCGCTATGTGATTGGCTGTTGTCTAATCCCCCTTGGGATCTGTGGTCTTAAAAATAACTCGAGACGAATTACCTATGGAATAGGGTGTGTATGGAGGATGCCTTCTCTGGCCCCTTTATCCTCTCTTGGTGTGCTCACCTTACATTATTTCACATATTTCAGTTGTTATAGCGACACTTCATAGAACCCGCAATGGCGCTAACAAAAAACAAATATAAGGTACAAGTAATTAAGTAAAAGGTGGAAACAATTTTTAAACAATAAAATAACTTAAAATAAATTTTAGAAAATTTTAACAAACTTTTGAAAATATTCCTGATTTACTCCAGCTAGAACAGTTCCATTCAAAATAACAGAAAATCATTTCAAGTTAATTTTCTAACATTTTAACAAATCGCGATTAATAATTTAAAACACAAATATAAATTTTTACACTTCAAGTTTTGTATTTGCTGATCATAGCAGATTGACCCTCCATAATCTGAACTATGGCGTAATTAGGCGATCATTGCAAGCTCAGTCCCGCGGACACTGCATGCATAAGAGACCAGGACATGTACAGTCGACGCACGAACTCTTTAGGTGATTCACGGTGCGGAGATTTCGCTGAAGCGTCATGCAAGAAGCGCAGTTTCCAAGCACTAGTGGTCTAGGTTGCAAAGTTTGCCTTCCTTTTAACCAAGCTCCAACCATAAGGGAGCAGGAAGGAAAACAGTATCCGGAAGAGGGTAGGTAAAAGACTCGACTGATAATTTTTAGAACGTCAAAAGAGGTACCATTGCAGTGCCGTGCAGGTCTTCCTGGATTATAAAACATGCCTAGAAATCCAGTGAAAAACCGCATTGTAAATTGGAATCAGATCGTAACGCAAAAGACCTGCAAGCTGGATAAAACAGAAAGAACCCTCCAAAAATGTGCAGCTCGAAGTTACCTTTGCAAGTGTTACGATCACTGCACCTTTGGCGATGAAAAGTTCAAAGGCGTAAAAGTTCGCGGAAGTGCTGGGTACTTACCATTTACCTGGTGAAACAATCAGGTTAAGATAACAAATGTTTCGAGCAGAACTGTCTTGCCTGTTCCCCAGCTCTTTCACAATAGCCCACGTTCGATATATTGAGTTCTAACAGGATCCAAGGCACTCAAGTCATTGTTCTATACATTTAGTTTGATTTTTTGTGTGCTCAAGTCTCTTCTGAGAGTTACGGCACAATAGATTCGTGAAATTTGCAATTTTTTCCTTAAAGCTTGGAAGTCATGTTAGTATTTTAGTATATCGAACTTAGGCTATTTGTAGCCTGGGAAGGCCTGCTTCAGATACAATGCTAAATCACATAAGCATAATAAGGCTAAAAATCGAAAGCAAAAGAGGCTTCAGAAGCATTATTGCTCATGATAAAGGGAATTCTTTCAGTTTAATTTGAATATTATAAACCATTGATTCATAGTGTTCGTCAGTTTAAAATCGCTCCTCAACATTATTCTAATAACCCACCTTATCGGTGTACTAAGACGTTCAATTTTGATCCAACTATTGTCAGTATTGATTTTCAAAATCGATAAAAAGCTCCTGTTTTTTACTGATTGAGCGAAAGGTTAACTTAACTATAACTCCAAAGAAAGGCGGAAGAACAGTATTAAGAAATGATCAAAATTCCGGCTATTAAAATTTTATCCCGTTTTGTTTGTTCGGTTTCAAGCTTGGCGCTATGACTAGTTAGGTCATTGAGGACAGTTCTTCAAAGGAAAGAATAGAGACTTATAAAGGGGAGCCATGCTACTCAAAATCTCCAATCAGCCATGGCAAAGTAAAAAAGGCCTATTAGAACTCCTTTGACAGTTCAATATAACTTCAGAAATAAAAAGACAAATGATTAAATTAGGTACAAATAATGAAAGTTAATTAATAGTGGTTCGGCTTCAGCTATTTTTTATGGGCGAAAAAAATTCTTAACCGATATCACAAACGTATGGTTTTACACATGTGGTTGGTGATTCAGCGATAAACTGACCACTGCAGTGTGATCCATATTTAAAAGTTGGTCAATACTCGACTTTTATATAATTAGTTTTTGTTACACTGTAATTGTCATGATAATTTGACATCATAGGTGTTTTCTCCGCTGGATTTGATCAAGCAAATTTAAGCGTTTTAAATTTGCATTTAGAGTGAAATAGATTTATCGCAAAGGGTCCTTTTACTTTTCGAGGGTAACTTAAAAACGCTACAAAAATCTGTGGTTCACCGAAAATGATCATTCTGAACATTTTTAATTCAATATAATAACAGCCAAAATTATCATCAGTTTCCACGGTGTTCTCCTTACACGCAGTGATTCTTCAGTTTCGTTCAACGAACAACAGAAGGGCCAAACAGAAGTAATGACTTTGCAAACATAAAAAAAGATCCTCGTGAAGCCAAATTTGTCAAAAAATCATGGCATGTAGTGAACCGGAAAATGGGAAAAGCTCGGGTGGAAATCTTGAGGAAGACAGAGTTTTTCACCAAACAGCTAAATCCAACGAAATGAACCAAGTAACTACAGAAACAGTGAGTTCCTTTATGGAAGCCACTACCCTGCATGGTGCTAGGTTTTTATTCAGTGGAGACTATTTCAGGAGGCTGATTTGGGCAGTAGCTCTCGGATTTTGTTTCGGTTACTGTATCTATCAGATCTTTCAAGCGGTGGATGCATTTTATGGTAAACCATACAACACAAGAATCACAAAAAAAGTAGGACACATGAACGAGAATCAAACATTTCCGGCCGTAAGTCTCTGCAATTTTAATTCATTTAATCGGCGAAGGTACATTAACCTTATGAAGACAAGAAATATGTCTAGTAATGATGAAATTAAACTTAATCTCAAGTTTATAGAATCACTGCTGGCAAAATCGAAAGATGTCTTCAACAGCTCGTCAAAAAATGATCATTTTTACTTGTTCGACCGAACAATTTGCGAGGATGGTTCGGATATTTGTTATCTTACACTTTTTAGTCATCAAATCGATGAAATGCTACTTCCGAGCCCGATATTTGAGTCTTGTGATATTAATGGTATTCCTTGCGGCTCAAGCAACTTTTCATCATTCATAAACTCTGTGTTTGGCCAGTGCTACACTTTCAACTCTGGACATTATGGCTTTCCTCTAATCAACGCTACCATGGCAGGTCACCTAAACGGTTTGAAGCTGTTGTTACATGTGGAGAGAGACAGTTACCTGGATTCTCCAACAAATCCATACGTTGGACTTACGGTTCTGGTACACGATCAACAGACCTTTCCTTTTATGGAACAGTTTGGCTTTGCAGTTCAACCTGGAGTTCGTACCCTTTGCGCAATAAGAAGGAAAAAGGTTAGTTAGATCTCTGCACTCTCGGCGCGGCATTCTCGATAAATTTTTAAGCGTTTTTTCCTGCCCTGAAACAACACAAACGCGTACTAGCCTGAAATTCATCCGATTGCTTCGAGTCGTTTTCTCCTCTCAACAATTGAGGGAGTAATAACGACTCGAAGTAATCGGATGAAATTCAGGCTAAAACGCGTACTAGAAAATAGAAAATAGTCATACCAATTTCCCCCTGACTGATCTTGCGCCTTTTGCTAAAGATATTGTAGCTATTGGCTTATACATAAATTAGTTAAAACTGACGCATTTTAAGCCTTCGTTCTCACGTTATAAAATACTTTGTTATCATGCAGGTTATAAACTTGCCATCCCCTTATTTAGCCAACTGCACAACAAGGAACTTGGATATTCTTCGGAAGACTAACTACACGTATTCCAAACCTGCCTGTCTGATGCAATGTCTGAGTTATTTTGTTATCAAAACATGCGGATGTCGCCCCATAGAATATAAAGGTAAGAAGTCAAGATATGGCTAGATCACCCTGACATTTCGAGGCCGATACTGATAATNGAAAATAGAAAATAGTCATACCAATTTCCCCCTGACTGATCTTGCGCCTTTTGCTAAAGATATTGTAGCTATTGGCTTATACATAAATTAGTTAAAACTGACGCATTTTAAGCCTTCGTTCTCACGTTATAAAATACTTTGTTATCATGCAGGTTATAAACTTGCCATCCCCTTATTTAGCCAACTGCACAACAAGGAACTTGGATATTCTTCGGAAGACTAACTACACATATTCCAAACCTGCCTGTCTGATGCAATGTCTGAGTTATTTTGTTATCAAAACATGCGGATGTCGCCCCATAGAATATAAAGGTAAGAAGTCAAGATATGGCTAGATCACCCTGACATTTCGAGGCCGATACTGATAATGAGTGCTTTAGTGAGACACTACTATACTGTATCTAAGATCAATGTTGCATGTTGTAACTGTAATTTCAAGTTTTAAGTTAAGAAATCGTTGAAACGTGTCCGTGCAATACAGATCGAATTTGAATTTGGAAGTGTTACGTTAGTTTTGAAGGAGAATGGAAAACCGGAATACCCAGAGATAAACCTCTCAGAACAAGGGAGAGAACCATCAGTAAACTCAACCCACAAATGGCGCCGTCGCCGGGATTTGAACCCGGGCCACATTGGTGGGAGGTGAGTGCTCTCACCGCTGTGCCACCCTTGCTCCCCGAGGTCTCCTATGAGATTATGCAGGCCAAAAATAGATTGTTTTCGAAGATCTTACCCCAGATGTTGCAGTTCGGGTTAGGTTGAACCTGGCTTTGCACTGAGCTCTTTTTTCGTTCAGGTTGATGACAATGGCTGCCTCAAAGTAGGAGATAGCCATCTCAGTTTAGCCGACTATCTCGATACCTAGCATGTCACAGCATGCGAGTCAGAACATGCAGCAGATTTTAAATGGATCTAACTTTTTGTTTTTTTTTTGTTTTTTTGTTTCATACTTTTTTTTTATTATTATTTTTTTATTATTTTTTTATTATTATTTTATTATTATTATTTTTTTATTGACAAGAAAAAATTAATTACAAATACTTGTTATTTTAACTATGAAAAATAATATATATATCTCTATGGCAAAAAACAAACTAAATTTGTAAAGGAAAAAAAAACAAACAAACAAACAAACTAAATTCAAAGGAAAAAGACGCAAACCTGATAAGTGAAACAGTATAGCAGTAAAGTGTAGCTTGAAGGAAATGACACTAGCATTCACGTATCTAAAGAAGTAAATGCATCTAACTGCAAGCTTAATGTCGCGGCCGTAAAGTGCAGGAGGATACAATAAAGCAAAAACTATTTTCTATAAACTTTGAAGAGTCGTTATTTGTTGTCTGGACGACAGGATACATCTTAGACTCAGTGCAGATTTCTACTCATATTACATTGAATTTCCTTCGTAGATCCAACATTTCCACTTTGCGCTTCAAATGACACTGTGTTCTGCTTGCTTCCAGCATATGGTCTGCGTTTTTATTTTCTTATTAACCTATGACCTCATCAGTTTTAAAAAGGTCACAACAGGCACGGTTTGAGAGCATTCGGTCCACCAATAGCGATGTGATATGATAGATATTTTAGAAATTGTTAGAAAACAACCAGAACATGCATCCGACCGTCCGTCCGTCCGTCCGTCCATCCATCCATCCAATATAATCAGTAATCAATCCACTACTTAATGTGAGGACTTCAGTCAAATGTTCAGCAATTTCTGCGATCAGTCGGTGTAATTTTCAGCAAACCATTCATGATAAGCGTTTGAATTTTGCGCTAGATAGGCAATAAATAGGTCAGCCGAGCTGCCATTGAGTCGGACAATCAGGTTGTGAACCATCAAATGGCATCATAAAACACGTCTGTCCGTTACTGCTACCATACATCAGACAGCCAGCCAGTCAATCACTTTCTCTTTCCACTCTGTGACCCTACATTAAGGCAAATGACAAAAAATAAGTGAATCAGTTATCAAGGAAGTCATTCATTCACTCATTCAATAACTCTATACTCACAATTACAAAAAGGGTTTACAACACATGTTATATTTTCGATTTGTTTTGGACAGAATCATTTGGTAAATCAAAGGAAAAGGAGGAGTGCGAAAAAACCTGCCAGGAACCATGCCACCACACAGACTATGAAATATCCTTATCATATGCCGGTTTGCAGAGGAATGTGTTCATTAAAAAACTCAACGCAGCATTAAATGATACTGAGAACTTTCCGGGATTCGAGACTTTTCTGAACATATCATATTCAGAAAAGAAGCAGTACATAGAGTAAGTTTTCTGTGGGGTGACTTAACGCTAAAAGCCTATTTTGCGGACAGAAGTAATATTTAAATGATGTTTTCTCACGCATGGAAATCGCCGCAGAGTTTTGATTTTTCTACCACTGTCTTGTTCGCTCCCTTTAAATTTCCCCTAACTTTTGAGCGGCTTACTAAGTAACAATCAACTTTGATTTGACAATTTCCTAAACATAATTTCTGCCTTTCTTGCCGTGCAGTGATAACATCGTTTCCCTCGATATCTTTTTCCAAGAACTGAGCTACGATGAGATTAGACAGACTCCACAGTTTACAGATTGGTCTTTAGTTGGTGAGTCTTTTGTTGTAGGTTTCCCTGCGTAGTCAAAGTAATAATAAATAAGTAAGGATGAAAAAATAATGAATTAATATAAATACCAAACCACGCAGTAAATAAAGCTAAGAGCGAGCCTAATTTGCTATCTAGAAAGAAACTATCCTCTGCTATTTACCCCAATGCCTTTCCTTCATGCTCAAGATGCGTTCACTTGGGAAGAATCAGGTCAGGATTTGTGTTCCAAGGTCACTCGAATCATGGTGCATGATGAATTCTTGTCTAGGAGAAATTTAGTGGTTCCTTTGATGAACCGTGCTCTGAAGATCTTCGATCGTAGGTCCTGAAAATGATCCGTCCCAAACGTGGAGACAGAGGGCGCGATCCATTCAACCAAAATTTCCGGAAATTTCGTTCCAAAACTCAATGGATCTGTTCGGTCCAACAGGAAAAGTTTCGAAAAAACGGGTCCACCTTTTAAGGTGGACCACTTTTCCTGGTTGGACCGGTTGGAATTTTGGTTGAATGGATCGCGCCCCGACACACTACAAAATTCTTCCCAAAACAAAGAAATTGACATGGTAAGACAGTCGGGTGATAATTGAAATTTTAAATTTGAGTAAATGTCATTTCTTTTCCCTTTTTCTTTCAGCGACTCTAGGTGGCAATTTTGGTCTTTTTCTCGGTATGAGTATCCTGACACTTCTCGAATTTGTTGACTTCGCTCTCAGAAGATTCTGTGTTTTCATCTGGAATGAATCTTAGACCATGAATTAGGCATGAAGTAAAATAGATCGTCATCTCTAGCTCCTCTAGCTCTGCACTTACTAGTCAACACTTCTTTGCATGGGTTTTCCGCACGAGCTTCTTGAGAAAGTTCAAGAGCTTTACTGAAAAGATCAATAGACAAAAATGCCCTACAAAAATCAAATTACTCCCGATTTAACGGATCCAGTTAGTCAACCGTCAACCAAAGTTGTTGGATGCAACATACCAGGCTCACTCAAACGCTCTGCTGAATGGTGTTGGATCGGTATTAATTTAGCTAACGCATCCACACAATCCAGCCAATTTGCGTTGATTCAATCTTGTTGAATTATCACGCAGATCCAACACCAAGAACTTGGACTCACTTCAACGTGCCCTGTATAATAACATTTGGTTAGATCTATTAATTTAGTATTTTATGTTTTTTAGTATGCTCAAAGGAGATGGCACATTATTGTGTTAAGTTATACAAAACCCAGAGGTTTATAACGCAAAAGCAACATTAGATATAGCCAAACCTAAAGGCGGAGCTCCCGTTCAAGAGTGATTGTAGCTTTTCCTCATTCTTGGCGTTCTATTAGTTTCAGTTTCGAATTTTAAAAGAGTAGTTCAAAGTTTTCAAATTAAAAGATGCCGTTGCATTGGAAAAGCGATTTTTTGAAATGTGGGTTTTCTACATAATTAATTATTTTCACTCCGCATGCCTTGGTTTTACATGTGGCGGGAGGACAGTCATTCGGTCGTCGGCCACGGGAAATGTATGGTCAAGGAATGATTTTCTTACCATAAGGGTTCCTGACTGAACAAATCCGTTTCCTAAGACCCTCATCCAACCTAGTTTTTACGGAGATAAAGTTGCCACGTCTTGAATTAACAGAACAATTCAGTACTTAACCTTTATTACCCATTCGCTGTTTTGTCCCCATGTTTCCCGTTTTCCGTGCTCTTTCCCCTTGCCTTGCTTTATTAACATTTCTTGAGCGCTTATTAAATTTGTAGAGACAGACAGTCTGTGTCAAGCATATTTACAGGCATCAGGCTCGTTTCTGATAAAGTAGGGACTGAGTTAGAGCGATTTTCGTATGACCTTGAAAAATAATTTCAGCAAGTGTTCGTTATTCGTTTTATCAGCCAATGGATAAAAAGATCAAAACATGGCTTCTTCGTTTTCCCGCCAAAGAAAACCCTAATATGAAGAAGGCATTGTTTCATTGGCCAATCCTATTGCAGGTTGATGTCCAGAAAGTTCTCTGGCAGGAAGTTTTTCACCCGAGCGTTCGTTTAACTAACTAAAAGCCACGCGCGTTTGTATCCGTTCGATAAACCAATCAAATCGCTCAATTTCCGTTCTTTTGTTGTTTCTGTTTTGTTCGTGCGTTTTCATTTCAAGGTCATACGAAAATCGCTCTACTAACTCAAGTAAGAAGGAATAAGTTAATAACTTCAATAACTATTAAAGTATCCTAGAAAAAAAGTTCTAGCGTTTATTAAAGCACTAAATTCAAGAACAATTAATACTTATAGGGATCTTGACACACTCGTAAAAATACTCATTTTTTTGGGACTTAACATGAAAATGTTAGTTTCACAAGTGGTAAACGGCATGCAGCTATTTCAAAGAAACAGTTGCATCAATTCCATTGCCGGGTTGAAAATTTATGGGCTACAAAATCTTTTATAATCACGACGGAAAAAAAAGACAGAAAAAAGTCAACTCCAGAATATTATATTGCCAGCGGGTGGATTTTCTGAAAGCATTTTGAAATCTTTTCTATTGATCAGTTTACAGTACAATTAACAATTATTCGCCGAAGGCAAAGTTAATATTGTTGAATAATCCCCGAGACAAAGTCGAGGTAATTATTCAACAATATTAACTGAGCCTGAGGTGAATAATTGTTTTAGTATATTCACACGAAGTGATCTCAACAGAATCAGAAAGGAAACCATTAAAAAACGGTTAGTTTGATTGACGGGTGAGTTCATGCGTGAACACGAAGCCGTAAACAGTGGATGCATAAAAGTTAGATCTTTACAGTATCTTCAAAAATGGCAAATGATAGTTTAATCTTTTTGTATCGAGTTTTGTAAGCTTTAGCATCAACGGCTTAAAAGAAAACGCCGAAAATTTATATTAATACCCGATTCTGAGAAGAAAAGTAGAGCTTTATTTGTTTCTGTCAACTCACCGTGAATGAGAAAGTTTCTTTGTCTCTTCTCGCAGATGCTGTCAACAGCGGATACGATCAAGGTGAGCGTTGTTTATCTCCAATATTCTTTGCTTTGTTAACTTGCTGGCACGTACAATTTTCGACAATATTTGCCTTCCTCTTTTCTCCATGAATTAACTTCTATTTATAGGCAAAATTGGTCTTGCGAGAAAATCCCGAAATCACAAAAGTGACAAAGCGGCGTCTTTTTCCTCTGTCGTGGTAAACATAGCTTCGAGCGTACAAAAAGTCAGCTACAGTTAACCACTTCACAATAGATCGCGCTGTTTAAACACCATGAAGTCTTTTCTTGCCTTTAAAGTCATCAGCACTTGGATATTCGTGTATTTTCAAAAAGGCTTCACTATGAAACTTTGGCAAAACACCCAGTTCACGACAGCTATTTTGTTCTGCTTGATATTCACCGCCTAGCGCGGTGAATATAACGTCATAGTCCGAGATAGCGAACTAATCAGATTGCTTGAATTACAAGATCACTGAGTGTGTATATACTAATATCCTATATTATTTCTACAATCAAAGCCCGCGGGTGTCATTCATTAACCTGTGAGCTTGGTATTCCTTTGTTTATCTTCAAGGGGTTTAAATTTAGGTTTGAGAGTCGTGTAAGAAAACAAATAATAGCATCGCGTGAGAATCAAAACATATGTGGAGAGATGAAATTGTTATATTGACTTTTCAAAGAGCGAATTATGTAAACATCTTCAGGGAGTTTATGAAGGTAAGGAAAAAGGCAACAAAAAATAAATATCATGCTAGTTTTTACCCGGCCTTCACTAATATTTGTCAAAAACTGTCTTGTAAAGAGTCACAAACGCAGGCATCTAACATACTGGCACTAACTGACAAAGTAATTTGTGTGATTACGGTATACAGCTAGAAAACCGAGCCAATACTAATTAAAAAGTTATTATTTTACTGTTCCTGCAGCAAACTACGCTTATAATATAGCTTCCGTCGCTGCTTTTGTAAGCATCAAGGAACTGCTTATTAGGATTGAAAATCATTCCCTTCAAGTTAATGAATCTTAACTAATTGACAGGCTTTTTGAGTGCACTTGTACAACAAAATACCCCTAATCAAATCTTGATGTTATTAGCCTAGCAAAATTCCTTATTAGGACACACCTAAGTGATTAGAATAATTCATAATTCATGTACTTTCTTTCCATCAAATATAGTGATTAAGACAGAGTTTCGTTTAATGAACGGGAAAATCAGAATAATATTGTAAGGTATCGTATCTAAACCAAGCACGAAGCTTCGTATCATGAAAAGAAGTAAAATCATGTCTATTATTGGACAGCAAGCATGGCAAGATCAGAAACCTAACGGAAGGGAAGAAGCACCTACGGAAAACCTCCGATCCTTCATACAAGACACTACCCTACATGGTGTTCGATTTCTATTCAATGGAAACTTTTTTAGGAGACTGATTTGGACAGTGGCTCTCGGTTCTTGTTTCGGTTTCTGCGTCTATCAAATTGTTCAAGCATTGACTGCGTATTACAGTCGACCATTCATTACAAGAATTACAACAAAAGGAGCAAATATAAACAGAAATTTAACCTTCCCCGCGGTAACTCTGTGCAATTTTAATTTTTTTAATCGGCGAAGGTATATTAACTTTATGAAGACAAAAAATATGTTAGACAATGATGTCATTGCACTTAATTTTAAGGCCTTCGAAGCAATGCTGGCAAAATCAACAGATGTTTTCAACACTCCGTCAAACAAAGAACATTCGTACTTGTTCGACCGAAAAGGCTGCGAAGATGGTTCAGATAATTGTTATCTCACACTCTTTAGTCATCGAATTGATGAAATGCACCTTCCAAGCCCAACATTTCAGTCTTGTGAAATCAATGGTTTTCCTTGCGACTCAAGAAACTTTTCATCCTTTATCAATTCTGTGTTTGGCCAGTGCTATACTTTCAACTCTGGAAATTATAACTTTCCTCTGATAAATGCTACCATGGCAGGTCATCTAAACGGCTTGGAGCTGCTGTTGCATGTAGAAAGAGATAGTTACCTGGATAATCCAAAAAATCCCTTTGTGGGGCTTATAGTTCTGGTACACGATCAAAACACCTTTCCTTTCATGGAACAGTTTGGTTTTGTAGTTCAACCTGGAGTTCGTAACCTATGCGCACTGAAAAGGAAAGAGGTTAGTTATACCACACTTATTCGAATGAGCGCCCAACCTCGAATTAGCGCCCACCTCCAGTAAGCGCCCATCCTAAAGGCAGACAAAGTTAATAAGCGCCCCCCCCTCTACTCCCGCCCACATAAACGCAAATACGAGATAATAAGAGACCCTCCCGAAGACGGAGTTTTCTTCAGAGTATTTTGCAGAAACCTTGCTTTGTTACATCTCCGCTTTTTGTTATTACCATATATTGTTTTGTTGCAAAATAAACATACTGCACTTGCTGAGAGTGGTGTAAATTTAATAAGCACCCAGCCTCGAATAAGCGCCCACTCTCAAGGTAAAAAAACTAATAAGCGCCCAGGGCGGTTAATCGAATAAATACGGTATGTTTAATATATTTCTGTCGTTTGCATGCTCTAAGAAACTTATTCCTGGCAGGTTGACCTACACTGAAATAAAAATGTGGACGAGGGGGTAATAATCATATTCTTTCCTATCGAGCATATTTATGGCTATACTACTAAATACTGGGTGCACTTAAGAATACCATCACATTTGTAAAACTTCTTTTATTTTCAGATAATAAACTTGCCATCACCGTATTTAGCCAACTGCACCACGAAAAACCTAGAAGGTCTTGGAAACATCGGTTACACGGTTTATTCCAAGCCGGCGTGTCTTATGCGATGTCTGACCGAGTTTGTCATTAAAACGTGCGGCTGTCGTCCCATAGAAAATAAAGGTAAGAAGTGCCTATTAGGGAGGAGAGAGACTAGGTGAAGAAACAGGTGCTTTGTGTGGACTCGTTTGTTCCATTTTTTTAACACTCCTGTTTTAAGTGAAGATATGACCCTCGAACTGTTGTAAACGCAATTTAAGCAATTGCCACTTAACTGTAAAAACATCTGACTGACAGTATTTAAACTGCCCATCTCAGTGGCCTCTTCCTTTCGCGTACGCGCTGCTGGGTAGTGGCAGCAACTGACAGCCGTTTCTTTTTTTTTAAAAATAATTTATTTATTTAATATCATTCAACATAACATTACAATAGACTTTACAGTAACAGGGCGGCCAAAAAAGGGGGTAAAACAGTAAAAAACAAACAAACAAGGAAAACAAAGCGAAATACGAAAGTTTAACAGACTAACAACAACTCGAAAAACAAATAGAAAAGTAATAATAGTGCGCGTTTGCTAAATTACGATAAATCAACACTAACCAGAAATGCACAGGGTGGTCCACTTATTTCTGTATTTGTTAAGATTTCCGTTTGTTATTGTAAATTCCTCTTTCGCACTGGATTTTAATTTCCAGGAGAACATTTTTTCTAGCTAAGAAATAGTAATATCTAGCAATTAAGAGATAATGGCTAAAAGTATGAAAGCTGTTAGATAATGAATATTAATAAATATTTTGCCGTCCAAAGTCCAGGCACTATACTAATGGTTATCTTATTTTCGTTCTAACTTTAGCAAACAACTTGCGCCTTAAATATGTTAGATTTTCATCGACATATACCACGTTTGTAGCATAAAAATACTGATTTAGACTCACTGACTTTAGATGTTTCCTAGCTTTCTACAGCTCAGTTTTCTTCTTATGTGTTTTAAACCGAACCTTATTAGGTTTGGAGCCGCTGCTGTTACGAGGTCCAGTTTTGTGACAAATGACGATATCGGTGGGAGAAGTATGCACGTTGACGACCTTTCCAAGCTTAACAACATTTTCAGCAATATCTTTGCCTGTAGTTTCGGCAATTCCATGAATCTCCAAGTTGTGTTTTCTTGTATACTGTTCCACGTCATCTACTTGGGTTATCGCCGTTTCAGCATCTTCGTAGAGGATGTCGTCGACATCTGCTCTTACCTCGACACTTATCTTTAAGCTCTTTATTTTCTTTTTTGAGAGACGTCAGTTCTGCATTTTTAATTGAAGTCTAAATATTCCTTTAATTCTTCGTATTGCCTTCTCATATCACAGCTTTCTTCCAATAGTTTGTCTGTGTTCACACGAATCTTGTTTAGGACTATCCAGACGTTACTATCGTTCTCTTTGTTGCTTAAAACTCTTCAAAAGTCTGCTTCGCCGACTTGGTTGGAGGTACCTCGGGCGAGCTTCCGCTACTAAACCTTTCATCACGTTTTCTTCGTACCACAGAAGGTGCATGTATTACTGCTTTCCTCACTTTCTTTTCTTGACATTTTAGGGCGGAGAGAAGAACGTTCTCGGAGTACACGAAAACACGTCCGCACATCATGCGAGTCTCCCCAGTCTCTCTGACAGCCGTTTTACCCTTCCTTGACAGTTATGCCATGCTGATGAACCAAACAAGGGGGGAAACAACTATCTATGATCATGACTGTCTCTGCCCAGGCAGTCTGACTGTACGCATGCAAGATATTAACCATATGATACCCAGCTGAGGTTTGCAGTGTGACCATTGCTTCAGACAGCTTCTGAGCAGATTGCAAGTGTTTTGATAATCATTTCAACAAGCTCTGTGTATAGAGGCCTTAGAAATGTTTTTGGCCACTATTTACCCCGAATTAAGTTAATTATTGTTGATTATAATGATCTTTATGACAGCAATACGTTGCAAATAGATCAAGAATTAAAAACCAGCCGCTGACAATGAATTTACTTCCTCTTTAGACCCAACCTTTCCACTTTGCGCTCCAAATGACACTGTGCTCTGTATGTTTCCAGCATACGGTGAGTGTTTGTTAGTTACTGAATAGAAAAAGCAATCAATCCACTGGCCTCCAAATGGCACAGAGATCATTAAGTCCGTATATTAACTAATCAATAACCCTTTACTGGGGCTGACGTGAGGTCGATGTATGGTCGACGAAAGGCCGAGATAGGATAGGAGGCTTTTAAAGCGACAATGCAGTGTCAATCAAAAAGGTCAATGAGGGGTCTTTAAAATCCTTATTCACAACGTCATTAACATTAGTTTAGTCTATACAAAGTTAATTAAATCCAAAAAAATAAACGGCCTTAATTGTCCCTACCAATTTGAGACATGGCCTTAACTAGCAATCAGTAAAAGGAGAACAGCAAAGCTGCTAATTGGTCAATAAGCCTTAAAGAAAAGAATTCATTTTAAGGTGTGTTTTGTTTTGGGATTTACTTTGATAGAATCATTTGGAACCTCTAAGGAAAAGGAAAGGTGTGAAAACAGCTGCCCGGCGCCATGCACCCACACGGAGTATGAAATATCTTTATCCTATGCCGGTCTGCAGAGAAATGTTTTCATCAACAAACTGAATGCAGCATTAAATGGCACCAACAACCTTCCAGCCTTCGAAAATTTTATCAACATGTCATACTTTGAAAAGAAGCTGTACATTGAGTAAGTTTTTTACGAGTCTCTTCTAGTTTAAAAGTGTTTGCGAACAGGCTTTAATTCCTGGACTAAATCGTTTTTCATTCCATTTAAGTGTTTGCGCGGTGTTTTTGCTTCCTAACGAGACTTCCCTTTTCGCGTTTTGGTCTTGAATGGTGACAATCGAAGTATTGCCTTTTGGATTAAACTGCTCCCCAGGAATATTTAGCATGCATCTTGCATATTAGCAATCACAGTGTGTTTCCCTGGACTAACGGAGCAATGAAACTCGAACCAAAGTTCAGACAAGGGATGCAAATAGCCTAATGACACAACCGCAATCAAAAAGAGCTTTAAGCAATAAGCAAAATACAACGCTGGTAGACATGTCAGACTGACATGTGATTGATTAGTGCATCAAAACTACTCTGATTGACCTGCTGTATACATGCTGTTTTTTTCCATCTAGTGACAACATCGTTTCTCTCGATATCTTTTTCCAAGATATGGACTATGATGAGATAACACAGACTCCACAGTTTACAGACTGGTCTTTAGTAGGTGAGTGAGATGGAATAACGTCATGAACAAAAGTATTAATAAGAAGCAAAAATTACGTATATACGTATTCTCTGCAGTAAGTTGAGTTAGAGCATGACACCCACCTGAAAAAAAAAAAAGATGCTATAACTGATAGAATCAGAAGCATGCTTCTGATAGAACATTATAAACAATGCAATCAGCCAGGTTTCTCTGAAACGAATGACAAATTAAAATTTGCAATCTTTATCGGCAGTATTATATCACAAAAGCGATGCAGACGTACGTATTGTTGGTCTTGTAGCCAAAATTTAACACTCAGAAAAAAAGAAAACGAGAAATGGCATGATATTTAGTAGATAACTGTAATAAAAAAAATAACTAATTTTTAAGTTTTTTTTACTTTCAGCGACGTTGGGTGGCAACTTTGGTCTTTTTCTCGGCATGAGTATCCTAACAATTTTCGAATTTGTCGACTTTATATCCAGGAGATTTTGCGCTTTCATCAGCAAACAATTTCAAGAGCGAAAGCGAAATATAAGGATTGCTCCTGAATGTTTTACTGATTGCCAAGTATATCCTCGCTCAAGTTGTAACTAAAACCAAAAATGATCATGTAAGCGAAAATTTTCCAGTTCTATTTATCTTTTATTCTCTTTTTAACTTCCGGAATAAGTATCATTTTAATAAGCGCAAAAATGTAACCTTAGATTTCAACATTGCTCTAAATTTAATAAAGTTTATAACACAAATACAGCGATCTTCTCTATGCAAAGCTAGAGCTGACACCGTGGAAGCATTTTTGTCAGCAAAGCCAAGTAAACTCACGCGTTTGCCGTTACCTTTAACATGTTTGATATACTTATCTTACCCACGTGCTAAATATATAGATGGTCGGTTAATCTTTCTTCCATAGTAAAACAACACTAATCTTAATCTCACAAGTATCTCATGCTACAACTGATTTTCAATGGGTCACCAGCTCAGTGAGCTCAATAGAGACGCCACGTATTCATCCCAAGTTTTTTTTGTATTCAAAAGAATAAATTATTCATGTCAAAGTAGTCGATTTAGATTCGTGTAACTACTTTCAAAAATTAGTGAAATTCTACTAAAGTATACGTACTACTTTCGAAATCCCGCATTCTGCTTGGCTGATGTAATTGCAATATCCAGCTCGTAGAGCGAGTGTGTCGAGGCCCATCAGAGACGCTAAAATAAAGTTAACAGCTAATCAGAAAAATGGGAATCATTTAAATGTCTGCTATGTTTACTTGCTTTTAATCGTAGTTACGAGTTTTGTAAACATCTTCGAACTTAATCTCGCGCTTTTTCTTCAACTGGCGATGTCAGCAATCACATTGCTTAACAGCTTTTACAGACTAACCACCACATATATGTATCGAATAGGACCTGATTGCGAAAAGCCTTACGTAACTAACACCAATGAACCACTTTAAAAAGTCATACTCTACTAACTAACCACAAACGCTACTGATTGAAAGTCATGCAGCAATAGCAGGCACCTTACAGGCAATTTTCCTATAAACTCTGGTAAAAACTGACAACACTAGGGTGACGGAATAAGACACCAGTAATTTGAGTGACAATAAAACAACTAGTATTACAGTGAGAAAACACAGATCTCATTTAGTCTTCGCAGTCAAGACGTGACTGTCAGTCGACCAATAGCATTTCGTCTTAATTGATCAATCAGGTCATTTCTCTCGAAGTCTTTTTTCAAGATATGAACTATGCAGATAATACTAACACAGTTTATTTATTTACAATAAATGAATTATAGTAAATAAAATTGATCATATAGCCTATGTCTGCAATGGGGTATTACGTTAACACTAGTTTAAATTACTTCTACTCTGTGCTCTTTTAACACCTAACATTGACTGTAACAACGACAACAAAGAGGTTCTCCCTAATACAGCACTAAAATTTATGATTTTAAATGTTATGACTCTCAATTTCTGATAAGGATTAATTATAGGATAGGCATTTAGAAATAATAATAATAATAATGATAATAATAATAATAATAATAATAATAATAATAATAATAATAATAATAAACATGTTAGGTTAAAAATATACAGGGGTGATTAAAGAAAGAAAAAATAGCTGGTGTAAAAGGTACATAAAGGTGGTGTTACACAAAACGATTCGTAACGACGATTTTTAGTGCAACACAGCGTTGCAACATTGTTGCGACATTGTTTCGAATAGTTCCAACGTTGTTCCACAAGGCAAGGCTGTGTTGCGCTAAAAATCGTCGTTGCGAATCGTCCCGTGTAACATCACCTTAAACGAATCTTAGCTTGAATTATTTAGTAATGCAATTATTAAAATGTGCAGTCATGGACTCAGCTTGTATGTTAAGTGTTTCTGATGAAGAAATTCCGAGACGATTAGTTTGGGTGTTTAGTTTTTGAAGTGCTTATGATCAGAATTTTCTTTGAAAAAAGCGCTTTCTTTTTCTGTATTTATTTGCAACCTATAAATATTTCTGTGGAACCAATGATGACATGAATTAACTCTCAAGATGGACAAAAATGGTTGAATAACGGGAATCTTTAACTGACTCTATCTATCCTTTTCAGAAATCATACTTCTTGAATCATCACGTTTCAAGCTTACTTGTGCAATCTAGTTGTTAGGTATCGAAGTAAAGTAAACTAAACCTAGCCTAACCTGAATATGAAGTTATATACACCATGTAAGTCTGGTTTACATTTTATAGTCTTGAAAGCAAATTAAGTACCGTGTGACCTTTCAGTAACTGAACTCAGATCTGCAGCGCAGGTCACAAGTAAAACTCACTCAAAGGTTTGAACTAACAGTTAGGACGCCTAAAAGAAATTAAAAGTACCCAGTGAGACGAATTTTTCAGAAAGAAAGCGAAAATGTTAGTATGGTTAAAGGCCATTCCTTTTTGTTTAGAATGCGTTGTAAACAGAAAAGGATAGGTACGAACGTGTTTGACGAAGAATATTTCATCTTTCGGCTTAAGAATTCGATTCATTTAACGAAGATTAACAACCCGCGCCCGACCTGTAGTACTAATGCTTCTGTATTCACTAGGCTACTTTAGACTATAAACAAAATAATGCAGAGAAGTTTAAGTCATAATAAGAAAACGAATTTCCATTGGAATCCAATGAAATCTAAGCCCTGCACATTTCATGCATGTCGACTGGTAGTACGTAAGGACAGTTGAACTGAAGAGATTAACATATGAAATAGTGTTGTGTTAGCAATATACGTACAGTAATAAAAATTAAGTTTATATGATACCTCTGTATGCTTAGCACGTCAAATAAAAACCTTTTAAGATTGTTGTGAAAAAGAACATCTGCTGGTATATTTTAGAAACGATGTGTACTGATTTTTGTTAAAACATGGAAACATGAAAATGATTTTGGACTAAGTGTACATCGCAATAAGTCAACTAAAATTGTTCTGGGTGGCAATCTTGTATTGGTACATGGTTATAGCCCTTAAATGCATCTCATGCCTGTCGAGGTAGCAAGTAATTAAGCCGGGACAGTTGAGAGAGATAAGTGTATTTAATAGTAATGAGTTTGCAAAATACGTGCAGTAAGGGAAATAAGGTGAATACGTGTAACTATTTAACACGTCAAGTAAAACCCCTTTAATGGTGTCGAAAATGCGCGACTTAAATGCTTGGCTACTTATTGTTTTACTGATCACTGATGTTGTGAAAAAGCACATCTGTTGGCATATTTTAGGAACAATTTATAACATTTTTGTTAAAAAATGGAAACGAGAAAATGGTTTTGGACCAGGTAAATATCAAAATATACTGAAGACAAATAGAAGCCTTTTGGGTGGCAATCGTACATTCGTAGGCAGGGTTATGGACTGAGCCAAACCTTCATCCATCCCGTGTGACTGTAACTGTCACAATGAAGCATCGTGCAACTAAGAGTGATAAGTAAAGCAATACTTGAAATTGAAAAGAAATAATTCTAATTTAACTGTTTGGTAAAGGGCAAAGCTCCAGGAGTCGAGTGATCGCATCGAGTGATGCGTGATATTTCTTAACAGGCAAGAAACTGAAATAAATGAATAAAATACAAATCAACTACAACTGAAAAAAGTTATTGGTTTCTCGTGTCGTTAGACATGAGAAAGCAATTAAAAAAAATCTACTGTTAAGTTTTACTGCCCGTCAGAATCAATGAACTGAATATTTGATAAGTTTTTTCATATTAAAAGAAGTTAGCGGGTTATTTCATCCCATCGTAAGGGGTCAATCGAAAACGGAAATTACTTGACCAATTACATGTATATAAGCTGGTGCAATCTAGAGAAAAGGATTTTATTACGCTAACGTTAACATAACATTTTTCTATGACAGCTGAATAAGTTGAACATTTCTCGAATTTAACATAGAGATACACATCGCAATGCTAGATCGTTTTCACGGTGACGTCATCAAATTGTAAAGTCAAAATAACGAGGCTTTACGAATTCTTTTTCACACTAGGTTGAAGATAAACAAAAATAAACCTTTGTAGAAGTTTCCAGTGCTGTAGCATGTTTCATTTTAAAAATACAACAACTTGAACTTCCAAGTTTTCAAAGTACGTGAGACAAAAATAGGAATGCTGTCTCGTTAAAAAAAAAAGCCTCACCTCTTGATTTTCAGCAGTTTAGCCATTTCAAGTATTAGAAGCTGTGTTTATGCGCACGTATGCTAGCTCTCGAGTGAAAAGAAAGAGCTTTTATAGAAAAAGTGAACTCCAGATGTTTTTGTTGATTTCCGGGGGCCATATTGGTGTACCATAACTGTACACCAATATGGCGTCTCCATACATAGCTCTATAAAAGTGCGTGAAATGTTTCGGCAAATAACTCAGAAACTGTACGGTGGGCCACAAAGACTTGGACAAATGGTTTATATATTTGTCTTTTCATTTTCTTGGTTTCTTTCACTGGACGGTTTCCAGTTTATTTTTTGTGCCGTATTTATTGTGCTACTGACAGTGAAAGCGATTTATTACTGTCTACTTGCTAGCCTGAGTAGCAGGCGCTTGGAAGTAGTGGGCGAAAGGGAGAACGGGCGTGCGCGAGGGAGACACACGGGGGTTGTCTCCTCTCTCCCCTCGGGTGTCTCCTTCTCGCGCGCCCGTTTTTTCTTGTGCCCACTACTTCCAAACGCCTGCTACGCAGGCTATCTACTTGAAAATATATGAAAGCTTATTTAAAGCGTTTTTATTGCCGCAGTGAAAACGTTATCACGTGTATTACGATGAGCCGTTCAACACAGCAAAATACTTGGATGCAAGATGAAGGAGTCAAACACGATACAATTTACGCCAGCAATGGTAATAAAAATTCAAACCATAGACAAGGAAAAGCCGAAGAATTGAAAGCTTTCTTAGAGAGTACGTCAATCTCATTAACACGGGGCTCGAGTTTTGTACGACTCAAACGTATTCAGAAGAGTACTTTGGACAGTGAACTTGTTCACCAGCCTTTCAAGTTACTGTGTAAGTTACTGTGTGTCAAGTTTTCGTATCTATCCATTCGTCACAACAGTTGTAGTGTCTAAAGGAACAGAAACCAACAAGTCTTTCGGCTTTCCGGCCTTGTCGCTCTGCAATCTCAACGCTTTCAACACTCGGAGATTTAGAGATCTCTACAATGGGTCGCCCAACGAACCTTTTATTGAGAGATATATCAAAGACATTTCTCTTATGGCAACAAAATCAGAGGAGATTTTAACAAAAGAATTTAAATCCAGAAACTTGGGACTTTTTTATCGCTTTCGAACGGCCGACCAAACGTTGGGTGTGAAAGGCATCATGAGCCATCAAGTTGCTGAAATGCTGCTTCCAAGCAAGTCTCTCGGTTCCATTCATGCTCTTTAAATGGTATACCATGTACAGAGAAAAACTTCACTCATCACATAAGTTCAGCGTATGGGCAGTGCTACACTTTTAACTCAGCTGAGAGCGATAAGCCTACGATTTCTGCCAGATAAGCTGGACAGAGCAGTGGATTAAAGCTTCGGCTTAACATCAAACGGGACAGTTATTTTGGACTTGAACGTTGTTGAACCCGTCTGTGGGAATCAGTTGTTATACATGATCAGAAAAGTTTTCCATTATTCATGGAGGAATTTGGAATGATTCAGCCGAACATTTCAACTCTTTGTGTCATAAAGAGGAAAGAGTTTAGAAAAATTTATTGCTAACAAATTCTAGCAAGTTTTAAGGCAATCAAGTCTGCATATTGACAAGTAACAATCATAAGGTTGGACGGAGCGGGGAGGGAGTGGGGAGATTGTTTTTAATTTACAAACTGAGACGAAATTAAATTAATTTTCTTGTTACCAGCCTCGTTTTCAGCCCCTTGAGAATTTCCCACATAATTTGAATTTCCGGTGGAAAAGGCGATCCGGCCAGCCAAGAAGAACTCATCAAATTCTTACTTATAATATTTGTTGTTTAAAGATCCTAAATGTGTATGAGAGAGAGGGTACAGCAACTCAAAACAAGTCCTGAAAAATTTCAGTTTTTTTTCATAAATGCCAATCGTGGTAGACAGGTGATTTAAAAAACTGTTGCATGAAGCTCGTATAAACTTGTTTGGAAATGTTTTCGTGGGAGGCTTAAGCAAATATCCTCTAGCTATGCTGGAGATGTGATTAATTATGATCAACAATTGGTGAAATGCCGCCATTCTGACCAGGATATACAAAGGACTTTATTTCAGTGCGTCACACTTACAGAGCAGCACCTGACTAAGGTGTATTTACCGGAAGATGTTAAGCATAAAACAAGGAACATTCAAACAAAAATTTGGTTTTGACGGAGACCCAGGGGTCATTTTTGGAAGTGATATAACCTGAAAACACCCTAACTACAGCTGAGTATTGTTAAACTATTAAATAATAATAAAAATTAAATTATTAATAAATAAAACATCATAAGGTCATTGATGTGGTCTGTTAAGAAACAGAAATCTGCCTTTACTGTGTTTCTTCTTTTAAAGATGAGAAGGAGAACTCCCATCACTTGCTATTAAAAGGCTGATGTCTTTAATTTTTAAACGTTCTAACACTGGTTTACACTGTTACACGAAGGTAACTTGTGTCTCCACCTGAAACTGAAAGCAATAATTAAACTGAGTTTCAACTCCGGAAGGTTAGTCTGACAGGTGGACTGAATTGTTATGCAAAACAGCGAGTTTTTCAGAAAGGCTTTTAATATAGGAGTGTTTTCTTTGACACTGCTCACCAGGAATAATAATAAAAAACAAACAAGAAAGTTAATTTATCTTTTATATTGAAATTTTAAAAAAGATAAAGTAGAGGCCCTCCACGCACGTACAACGAAGGCTTAGACTCAACCGAGTCATTCAGGTGAAGAACTCAAGGCCTTGTCTCTGCCATTTGATATTTTTCCTTACGATCTCTATGAGCTAACGTTTCTCAGTAACACAGAATAAAGAACTTTATTCCAACTTTTAACTAAATTCTTACTAACTAACATGATTAAAAAGTATTGGCAAATTGTTCGCTTTTGCGAAGATAATTTTCCTGCTGTTATTCAGAAATTCAGGCACCTTTAATTACAAGAGAACTACAGGAAAAGTCAACTTTCCATTTAAAGCTTTTGTCACTATATTTCGTTAAATAATTTTCATAACAGTAGGAAGAAAAATACCCTGAACTGAACGCTCCTGTGCCCATAAATATTTTAAAATGTAAAAATCGCATATCCTGACAGAGACACTCTAGAATGAATACACGCAAACTTTGCGTATAATGGCGGCAAATCAGGAAAGTTTTGGGACAAAAAGAGTGAGAAATGATACACACTTCTCTCTCAACCAGGAAAACAAGAAAGCCGATGAAAAATCTAATGGGGGATTAGAGTCCTTTGCCAATGATACAACCTTACACGGAGCAAGATTTTTGTGCGACAAAAATATCTTCAGGAGAGTTTTATGGACCTTGGTCCTCATCGGCAGTTTTAGTTACTGTATTTTTCAAGTTTATGAGACTTTGGTGGCATTTAGTGAGCGACCATTCATTACAAAAGTTTCAACAAGTACAACTGAAACCAACGAGTCTTTTTTCCCTGCTGTGTCGCTTTGTAATCTGAATGCCTTTAACACACGAAGATATAGAAACGCATTAAAATACCACCAGTTCAGTGAACCTTTGATCGAGAAAAAAATTCAAGACATGCTTGTTATTGTGAACAAAGACAAAAAGGCATTTAACGATGAGTTTGTCAAGCGAAATCCAGAATTTTTTCGACGTCAAAAAACTGCAAACAGCAGAATTGTGGCTCGAAGTAATCTTAGTCATCAAATCGAAGAAATGCTCCTTCCAGTAAGCCCACAGTTTCATTCTTGCTCTGTAAATGGGAAAAAGTGCACAGCAAATAACTTTACGAGTCACATGAGTTCAGAATACGGATTGTGTTACACGTTTAACTCTGTGAAAAGCGGTCGACCGTTACTTCATGCAACGTTATCTGGTAAAAATAGTGGACTAAGGCTTCTACTTAACATAGAAAGGGACAGCTACTTGATTACTAACATTCGCCCAACAGTTGGTCTTGCAATTATTATCCATGACCAGAAAAGTTTTCCTTTCATGGAGGACTTTGGTACCACCGTGCAGCCAGGCATTTCAACTCTTTGTGCCTTTAGGAAAAGAAAGGTTAGAGACTAGCGAGCTATCATCCGTATTTGTTACAAAAATAGCGCTATATTAAACAACTATTCCGCGAGAACGAATGGGCTCTCAGTCAATAGCCCATGAGGCCGAGTTTTAGTAAAATCCAACTAGTTGGTCAAAAATATCGAGATAAAACAACTTTAGCTAGCAAAACGCGATTCAGCCACCATTGTTTTGGTTTTCAAAGCGGGCGCTTTTCTCAATTAGAGGGCTATAACGTGTAGACTAGTGGTGACTTAGCCAATCAGAACGCAGCATTGATAATAGACCACTAGTAGGATTTTACAAAGACCTGTTTAATTATCCTAGATAGACAAGACGGTTTAACTGGAGAAGTTCATAAAAAAAACCCAGTTAGTCTGTGGCTTGGTTCCCAGCAATTGAGAGATAAGTGATCTTCTTTGCACTGAAACGAATCAAGGAAAAATTTCGAGTTCCTACAATCTTAGACAAAAGTCCTTGGGACAGTGATTCAATTTTGAGCCCCGCAGTCCACCGAGCTCATTGTCAAGCTTGAGCGCCCATCCAAAGACGCACGACTAAGTTTATCTTAAAACTGCTTTATTCTTCTAATATAAGTTATAAGTCTCGTTTACAAACTCTAAACCTAATACCTATTTGTTACCGGCATAAACTCTTAGATCTAACCTTTTTTTTAAAATTGACACAACGGTCTTGATAACGTGAACTCCTCTGTGACCTACCTGAAGTTCGCAAATACGGTAGACGCACTAGATCTTCACCCAGTAATGTTAATAAATACAATAATTAATTAAGAAATGTAAAACTACTGCGTACCAGAAATCCTTTCTCATTAGAACTAGTAGAATTTGGAATTGTTTAGCGGATGAACTAGATTTGAGTTCATCGACCTTAACTTCCTTTAAATCGGTTATTTTTAATCATTATAAGTCCTCGTTAGCTGTTTCCTATGATTGTGAAGACCCACTTTCGTTCAAGTCTATCTGTTTAAAATGTAATAGTGCTCGTCCCTTGTCTCGTCCAATAACTTGTTGTATGTGGCTGTAGTTTTCTTTTATCGCTGTGTTTTTTAATATATTTTTTTATTATTATTATTAGTATCCGGGACCGCTATAATTGGCCACAGCTGTTGCGGTGTCCCTGCCAACGTTCTTTCTGTTTGTTTGTTTTATTTTGGCGAAGCTGATAAAATAAAAAATAAAAAAAATAAAGTAACTGTAAAACAGTGCAACGTCTTCAAAAATATTTTGGAGTTCTCCCTCCCGCCCACCCTACAGAATGCTCTAACTCGGGAAAAGTTTGGAAACAAACGTTTAACGTCGTACGTTCTTTGTGGGGTGGGGGAAAGGGGTAGGGCATGTGTGAAAAAGAGAAAAAATAGCTCATTGGCTGTCATAAAAATGACTTTATAAAAGTTCTTTCTGGTCATTAAATATGGGTCTCCTTAAATGAAAACAAAATCGATGGTGAATACAGAAACCAAAAAGGGGTCAAAAACATGAGTTTCCGCAGCTTTTTACTAATTAAAAAAAAACTTATTTTCTTACAGATAGTTAACTTGAAAGGAGGCATACTTTGTTTAACGTGTTTGTCTAGTGACCTGTACAAGTTGTCGCTACAAATACGGATGTGTTTCTCTCGGACGTACTATTTTACGGCGTTACATTACACTGTCAAAAGATGCGGCTGTACACCGACTGAATTTAAAGGTATAGTAATGGCTCTTCATTTTTTACATTAAGCTGCCTTCGTGGACGTTTAATATCGAGTAATAAGCGAGCGAGTTCACTGAATCATGAGGTTTGCCGTTACTGAAAACAACAATACCTCTTCCGACAGACCAAGATGGTTTCCTTCGATAAAATTGAGATTAATTTTTTAACGGTTGGCCTGGATAACAAATATTTTTTTCTGAGTTCTTGGCTTAACCACTTTTTGACTTGAGAATTTCGCTCGCTCTTATACGGGTCCGTGAAGCCGGACACCTTCATAGAGGACTTTTGATAAGGCAAAATTAAGAAGATATTCTAGCAACAAGTTGCCAAAATAGAATTAAAAATATGTAAAGGAAGAATTTATTAAAGGATATTAAAATAACGTTATCGGAATAAATTTGTTTGTTTTCTTTTTGAAGCGGATGCTCCGATTTGTGCGCTGAATGACACTGTGCTCTGCGTTTACAATTCCTATGGTGAGTCTGTATTATGGGGGATCACGTTATAGCGGTTTTCGTGTTAATTATCACTCTTATCGTGAGTGATAAACCCGTTTATCAGGATTAAATGCATGCGACGGACGTTCAGCGCCAAGCCCATGTATATATGTGAGTTGCTGCCACGTGGGAGTCATAATGCGATTCTAGCCAGCTGACGCGTTGAACACGAATGTAAGATTTCTTGTCCCGTCCCTCCCTCCTTGAGGGTATCGTGCGGTGGTCTAGGCTATAAAAGGAACCCCAAAGAGAGTTGTTGTGTATTTACTACTATTATAATGATAGATCGACCAAACTACTGGTACAAGGTAACCTCTTATGAAATGAGCTAATCTGAGTTAAATTTATTCAATGATATATTATATATTTCATTGTAGAAGAGTTTGGAGCCTCTAGTGAAAAAGAATCTTGTGACAAGAACTGTCCTGAACCCTGTGAACATGTGGAATACGAGACTTCCTTCTCTTACAGCGCATTGCAGCCCGAAAGCTTCGTCGATCATCTCATGGATTTCCTTAAGAGCAATGACACGTCAGTGGATCGAGCGATTTACGAGCCCCTGTTGAACATGACACCATCTGAACGAGAGAGATACATTGAGTGAGTGCTTTACTTAGACTGGTATCTCCAACTGGATGAGGAAATACGTGAACTAATGTATACTAGTAAGCTTCCCTTGTGGAAAAGAGAGGGCGAACAAACAAACCAAAAAGCTGGTTGTTTTGCAGTCTAGTGGAAGAAGTGCAACCCGGCAAACAAATGCAAACTGGCAGATTATAGAAGCAAGAAACAAACAGATCTGGTTTAAATTACTCTGTTCGCTCTTTGCTATCCATTCGTAGTTTGCTTAGTTTGCCATCACAGATACTCCAGGCAGAGGGAGGATACTTAATCAGTCGTAATAAATGAAGGTAATGGATACAACAATTGTCTTGACTAGTATCTGTCGCACTGCGACTCCAATCGGAGGCAAATGGAGTACCAACCTCGGGTACACTTAAAAACTTGATTTGTTTTTGTTTCGTGTTTCCTAACTTAAAAATTAATTTTCTTCATATGTGAATTTTTTTTTAATCCAGAAAGAACATAATTTCCTTGGACATCTATTTTGAAGATCTGAGCTACGAAATCATTGAACAGACGCCTGTTTACGAGACCTGGACTATGATCGGTAAGGCTCGCTCATGACTTGAAAACTTAGCACATTGTTATAACTGAACTTACAGTTATCAATCTTAAGCATTCTCGCCATTTTCCTGAAACGTCCAAGGGGAGGGAGGAGGCCGAATGGCAAACAGTTAACCACGCAGAATTATCAATTGAGACCCCTGAAGGAGTCGCGAAATGATCGAGTAGCGTAAGACCTTTCACCTCTGCAAAGGTTCCGCTACATTCCAGTTAAAAATGCGTGATTTACGATGGGAAGATCCCCTGCGAACTTTATTAAATTCCTCTCCCCAACCTCCCGTAGACACAAAGAGGATTTGTGTAGGATTAGACTGAGGAAAAGGTTTATGGAAATCACTACCATGTATCCCCATGTATACAGACTGCCTGTAATTTCTTTTAAATTAGCCTCCGAGGCCTATCACTTTCCTTTGTTGAGTAAGGACCGATCGAATCTTGAATTATTTATTATTTATTGTATAGGAAGCCTGGGTGGGACATTTGGTCTGTTCCTGGGAATGAGTTTGCTCACCATTTTAGAGTTCCTTGACTTCATCTTCGCAAGGATTTGTCACTTGCTTCAAGGTCTCCACTCTGGCAACAGACATACTGGAACCATTCATGCAGAGTTTTGAGAGTCTTTATTGATGGACATGGGATTATAAACTGTACAATTCACTGATCATTTGTTAATCATTTACATGTGAAAAGTATTTCATGCCGGGGGGCGGGGAGGGAGGGTTGGTGGGTGGGGCACTCAATTATTTGACCGATATATGTGCCGCTGAACAGGGTACGATTTTCTGGGGCTAAAAACTGGGTATAAAATTTCACTATTTGGCATGTTGAACAGATTGTCTTTTTGGACAGGAAGTTGGAGAAGAGAGGTCTATATGTATGCTACCAAAAAACATTCCCGAATTAAATGTCAAGGTTATGAAATAAGCTTCTTCTCAGTTATTTAGGGTAGACTGGAAATGAATGCTTTACGTCTTAAACAGGGTCAGGGTCTTAAGACCTCAGCGGCAAATATCTAACCAAATTCTCCCCTGCGTGCTTCCCGGAAACTATGGATAGCCGCCGGTGGGTCTTCTTAGACCCACCGGTGGACCCCACTTCCATGTAAACAGGCCCTTATATACTTAATATTACTTCTTGCCCCCTCTCTAAAGGATTATTACTTATTTTCGCACTGTTCACACCAGTTTAAACGCAGCACGAATCAAGTTCGAGGTCGGATTAAGTTAAGATTCGCAAGTAAAGTTCGAGGTGAATATATCTTTCCTCTAGTTATGCTTCTAACAGGCGCAAGAGTTTCCTCGTTATATATTAACTGATCTATACCAAACATACTTACGGCGAAACAGAATTGTCGCGAAGTAATTTAGAAAGGATACATGATTTCACCGTTTACTTCAGCCATGTGTTGCTTCCAAAATCTTGGACAACTTTTCTCCATAAATTAATCCCGTGAGGAAGGAAAATAGGTTGGATATGTGATGAAAGGGTGTAACTAAGACAATTAATAAAGAGGGATTCAGGAGGTATGATTTCGAGAACTCTCTTCCTTCAATTAGTTAGTAAGAATTCAACTTACCTGAAAAGTCTGTTAATTAACAGGTCTAATGCTATTGTGTGAATTCACCGTGTTACAACTGCTGTATTATCCTTTTTCATTTTTATGTATTTTTGGTCAAATCTGTAATACTGTTATACACTTTCAGTCTCTTAGTTTTAAAATTTGTAACCATAACATGTGTTGTCTAAATACATGACTATTACAACAAAAAAACAACAAAACGAGGTTGCCAAGGAATGCTTTCTTAGAAAAGCAGATTGATTGGATTGACATAGGGATAGGAAGAAGAGAGGGCCTCCTTTACGATTCTCGAATTCTTCGATTCGGAGTTGGCAACTTCCTAGATCATTTCCTACGCAAGTTGTGTTCACTCATCACCGACTGCCACGGAACCTAACGCATAAAATTGACAGAGTATTATGCACAACGTATTTAACTAACTTTATTAAAATATCCTAATATTTTTTTCTTTTATCATAGCTCTTTCCTTTAGTACAGAGCAGCCTCCGACAGTTGCCCATTACAAGAGGAGGTTTTACTGGAATATCAATTTCGTTTCAAGCGACGTTTCTAATGAAAAGATTGTTTTATTTCTTTTTAATAATTAAATCAAAGATTATTTATTGAAGTGAACCGATCAGAATTCATTGAGGACCGAATAAAAGAAACTACGAGCGAAGAACTTCCAGGATGCAATCAAGTTAAGCAGCACTTCAGCCGGATCAATGTAGCTGGTTCTAATTCCCAATTGCTTGACTCTTTTTAAAGCCCCAATATACACATACAAATTCTCCAAACTGACCTCCATACATTTCATTACAGAATGTGTTGAAAATTTTATAAAAGTGCAATGCATTTTATTTTTCATTTTGGTGATCATTTTTTCAATTCTTGTAACCTTGTCTCTTAACAAGGTATGGATATCGTTAGGAGAAAATTGATGTTGGCCACTATTGGGACTTAGGGGGGTAAGCGCAGAAACTTCAACGGCCAGTAAACACACAGTAGAGTAGAAAAGTGAATCAAAGCAAGATAATATACTAAATAGTGTTTCTGTGGTCCGGACTTACATTCAAATCTTCTAACAACAAAATCAATGTCGACACCAAAGGGGCAAAGCTGGCCTGCGAATATTGTATACAATTTCGTTAAAACAACAGTTTTCCGTATTAACATGTTATAGTGCAGTCTCAGTTTAATGTGGTTGTTTTACCGCATGTTCAGAGATGCACTTTTTAAAGCAATTTTCTTGTAATACTATCACTATGAGTATTTAAGTGTATGATGCGGAATGGATCGATCAGTGTAATTGCTTGATGGTTCTACAAATTTCTATAATACTGTCATGTATAATGAAAGGAAAAAAATAAATGCAAATTTGAATTAAATGCAAAGCATGCATCAAAAATCACAGTTCATCCAAGTTACTGAGGATACAGTTGGTTCTGCCAGGAAAAAACTGATGGAAAGACAGTTTACCATCAACAAGGCTTTGGTCCTTAACCTTGACTT